AAGAAGGCCTGTGATCTGAACAAACTTTGTTTAACAAATATTCAGTTCATGAAAGGGTTAGGCAGTAGAACAAGCACTGCAGCTATTTCAGTTTTTTGCATATTTTTTATAAAACACATAGGGGCCTATTATACTATATTTATCACATAAACGTCACGTTTCAAAACTACACGTGGGGGTGGTTATGTACGTGATTATCAATTTCATTAATTTTGATACAAATACCCCAAACTATGCTTAAACTCTCAAGTTTGTGAACGGCACGGTGTGGGGGAGGGGTCTACCATTGAGTTTTATCTTCAGAGAGAGAGTCAGCTATTAATATTCCTTTTAAAAGGGGGAGTCGTCTCGAATTTTACTTTTTTTCTTTCTTTTTTTTTACAATTTGTAGGAAAAAAAAACAGGTTGGGGTGGTTCCCTACCCTCCCCCATGTAATGTACATGTATATTTTTAAAGTAAATTAAATTCTAGATAGGCCTTCATGTGCGGATACCCCTTCCCCCATTTTTTTGGTTATGTGTGCCTACGAAATAAAAAAATGTATTATCAAAATTGTATATCCTTGTAGCAAAGAGAGAATTATAACTGAAAATTAATGTTAGTAATATGCCTCTGCTGGTGGGCTTTTAGTCCCCGAGGGTATTCATAAGCCCAGTTTCGTCTAGTACTGCAGTGCTAGCATGAAACGGATATATAAATTTTAATGTGATAAATTTTAGAAATAAAGGACGTATCTCCCTCAGGCATAGCTCTGCTCCTTGTTCGGATTTTGGCTCATGTTCGGCACTTTCGATCCATGCTCGTAGCTCTTCATCTTTTTTAAGATTTCCAATAGTTTTGGTCTGAGCATCACTGAAGAGACATTATTTGTTGAAATGCGCATCTGGTGCATCAAAGTTCATACCGTTCATTTTTTATGATAAATATAGAGTTTTACGATATTTCTGTTAGATCTGTCACTCCAGTATAATTGACCAGAATAGTAAATGTCTAAAGTTGATAGAGCAATTCGCTATAGATATTTGGGACTCAAGGTCTGATCAGAACAGTGTGATATTGGGTTAATATCAAACAATTGTTTTGTATTATTAATCTCCCTTTCTCGCTTTGCTGAGAAGAAGGAAGGGGTGCTAGTTTACTCTCGGTCCATCTATCCACCTGTCTGTCCTTCCGATTGCGATTTTCCGGATTTTTCTTTGCACTGTGCCTTGAATACTCACAGAACAAGTATATTCATTACGTTTGACATACTTTTGACTGAATTATCATGTGTTATCATCAGTATTGTCATTATGACAGTTACACGAAACATTCCCTATTGGCCCTCTGTATACTTATATATTTGAAAATTAATAGAAATTAAATGTTAAAAAAACACCAAGTAGACATTTTCTTTAGATCATTTACATGTACACAAACAAAGTGGGGTGAAATTTGGGAGCGGTAGATGTTGCAAACAGTACCTAATAGGTCAAAATGTTGGACCCCCCCCCCTTTTACAAATTCCTGGATCCGCCTATGCCAAGTAACTACCAAGAACTACTAAAACAGTGTCCATTTTATTCACTTTGTAACTGTCACGTGATCTTACCTGCTGAGGACTGCAGAGACAAATTTCTCTAGCCGTCAAGGGGACTGCCGCTCGAATGAAGAGTCTGAGATACCGTCAACCATTCCCATTTCACCACATTGTCCAGGACGTACATCTGATAAACAAGTAAAAATCATTGAACATTTGCCCAACTGTCCTGTGTTCACAGTACTGATAAGTTTGGAACCAAAAAAATAAAAAATATCAAACTTGCACTACAAAATGGAACAAAATGCATTCATTTCAAGGCAACTCACCCGGTGTAAGAATTTATAAATCCATGTCAACTTTAGAACAACACAGAGGATTCAACAGAAACATCTCAAAGTCACACGTACCTTTTCAAACGAAAGGACAACAAAAAAATTCCCACCAAAATGAACACGTGACTGAAGATCAAACGACCAAAGTGCGCCCAATGAAAATTGATTCTTTTGCGTGACCGTAGTGTCAATCGATATATTCTATTTATAGATTTCAAAGTGATTTGACCTAACTGTGAGTAATGCTCTCTCGCATTCAAAAGAGAATCAACCTTACTTAAATTCCTTTATATAGTTTGAATCACGTTTTATTTTTAGCACATATGATACGACATTTTCTGAAGTATTAGTTTTATTTATTCAATTCACATTGACATTATTAGAAACTCAGGCACTTAGCAACAGGGGGAGGGAAGGGGGGGGTCTCCCCCCCCCCCCCACACACACACTCACTTTTTTCCCAACAGAACTTTTGCTGAAAATGTTCATTGAAGTACAGGTTGGCCCCCAGTTAATAGTACGGTAAAGTAATATAAGGGAAATGCAGTATTGTATGCAAAAAAGGTAATAAAAGAAGTCGGCATCAGAAAAAAGTTGGCCTCTACACCCCCCCCCCCTTCCACCCCTCCCCCCACGAATTAGGGATTTTCGAGTTTGGGCAATGTTTTGTTTGCTCGTCAAGTTTTCCAGGTAAGTAAAAAAAAATTGTCTGGCTGGTCCCCCACTTTCAAAAACGATGCTACTCTGGCTTAGCCCCCCCCCCCCCCCCCCCCACACACACACACTTATTTTTCAAATATACTGTATACATGATATAGGCATTGAAAATGGGGGTTTACATTTTTTTTGTTGGTTTAGTCCGCCCCCTTTCAATTAACCCCCCCCCCCCCCCCACACACACACACACACACACTTCAACTAGTCTGCACTATCTCGTGCGCAATATTGAATTGCTTGACTAGTTACTTCATAAAAAAAGAGAAAAATCCCGAATGATATCCTCAATGTTTCATCTATATGATAGATTACGAAATTTCAGATTAAAATATTTTAGATTTATTTTCACTCTTTATTTTTTAATTGCTATCTATTGGCTAGGGCGTTATCAAAATTTAATGTGAAATATCAAGAATTAGATATGGTTTGTTTTAATATGATAATATTGTTGGGGTTTTTTGGTTAATACGATGATTTAGCCACCCTTAAAGACGATGGAGTGCAACAAAAGTCCGTGTTCAATTAAGGTGGAATGCCACACCAACATTTTATTTTATAGATCTTTTAGTCATCCTTTTTGAACAATGGTTTCAGCATTGAAAGACCGATATTAGCTCTTAATTATTTTATATGATTTTTTTGTATTTTTAAGAAAATGAAAAAAAATATTTATATCCAAATAAGTTGTTCTCGAGTTAAAAGTTTGCTGTTAATGAATGCATCATATGAATATCTAATAAAAAATGTAAAGAAAGGCTGGTTAGACTTTTTAATTTTTTTTTTATAAAAAATAATTTATGAAAATAAAACACTTTATTTGTGAATATTTTTTTAAACTTGTGGTTAAAAAAACCACAAAACAAGACACAACTGAGGACAACATGTTTGTCAATCATATTTTAAAAAGAAATTGAAACGAGATTGAGAAATTTGTGAGAAATTAATTTTTTTAAATATTTGAACCTAACCCGATCAAAATTAAACTGATCCCGATCAAAATTGACACAAAATGAATAAAATGCTAATTTATTGCCTCTTCCTGTATTAACAATGAATTTGAGAAATCTATTTTATTGTCAGGTTCAATAATGTTTTAACCCTTATTGCACCTAATCAGACTTGTGCTGTTAAAGGTATTTCCATCCTTACACATGAATGATTTCAAAGTAAAAAATCTGCATTTATTCTTACTTTTATATAGCCTAAACTGATTAAAAATTGCAAATTAAAAATATTTAGGTGTCATTTTTTTAAGATGCCATATTTAGATCTATATAAACAGAAGTGTTTTTGTCGACATGAGAAAAGTACAGAATTTGGTTAAGAGTATTATTTACATGATTTATAAAAACTACATGTATATAAATTCTGGTTCATATAATCTCAGCGAGATTACGATGTCGTAATGGACGTCCGACCAATGTCGCAGTGGGTGTCCAACCAAATATTTTAGTCCCTACGACATTTCGCTGAGATTAATAATTATGATGCTGAATTAAGAGTGTTAAGGTCAAGATCTAGTAAATGAAAGGTGCCTACAGATTCATCAAACTTGAGAAATAAATTCCTTTATTGATGCTTTACAATTTTAGCTGGGTCAAATAAGGTGTTTCGGGGCATAAATTGTAGGTAAATTAGATGAAAAACTGTATTTTAAACTGTCATTTTCAATGAAAATTAAGAAAATCAGTCATGAATATGGGAGTGTTTTTCAAATTCGGCAAAGGAAATGTATCCAGATTGCCTACAGTCTCTCAGAAAACGGTAATTAGTATGTTCTAGGCTTCTTCTTTAAATCAATATCAAATTTAATATAGGTATCCGGTTTACTTTTCATATGATTTCAAATTGAATGACATGAAAATACCCCATTTTCTACATAATTCTGCTAAAGCCATAAAGTACGGGAAAAAGAAAGTTGAAATTGATTATGACGTCATAATGGATCTAGCGCCAAAAAATTAGTCTCAAGTTATTTACTAGATCTTGACCTTAAATAAAATGTTACAATGTGAATATTGTTAATATTAAGGTAATTATTTTACACGAAAGGTGCAATTTAGAAATTGCCTATATTCAAATTCTATGAGAAGGACTTATTGCAACGATTTTTTTTATTAATTAAAATATTTATTCAATAAAGTAAATATTAAATTTCAAAATTCTTTATCTAAAAAATTTTATTCTCATTTCGCCCATTGAACTAAATAATTTCCCTCACAACACTGGATTTACTTATTGAAGTAGATTTCGTCGCCTTAATTTGAGTAAAATTATGCTAGAATGTTTGCAGATGATGATAAACAAAATGTTTTTTTTAAAAATCACTTCACTATTGAAATTGTTACCTGCGCAGCAAACATACAATTTCATCAGTTTGCGATTGCGGAACTTTAAACAAAACATTCCTGCTCTCCCACCACAACATAGACTCGTCCAATTCGTAAAAAATGTAACCTGATAAGGCAGACTCTGTTTATATGCCCATGCTTCATCTCATCCAACATTTCCGTTAGATTAATTCGTTGTTCACGTGGATTTTTTGACAATAAGGGGTTTATTTGTGACTGTCAGAGAAATTCCGAAGATTACCCGTCACTGACAACGTGCGATCAGCTGTTCAGAAAGAATTTCCTCTGCTTTGCAGTCGAAAGTCATGAAACTTTTTGCATCTCTGCTGGTGACCGCTTGCGTGGCAGCGTTTACGTGTGCCGAATTGTTCTCATCCATGGCACATCTTGAGAGTGCCTTGTTTGCAGAAAGAGACATTGCTGTTGCCATTCAAGATTATATTCATGAAGAAGAAAAACGACTTGCAAAACTCAAAAGGTATGTGTGTGTTTACAAGACGAGATTCTTTCTATTTTGGAAAATTGCTGTTGGAACTTAACGTCAGCATGTCTCTAGAACTTTCGATTCCGTACAACTTTCACTTTAGAATGAAAGAGTCTGCAGTACAGCAAATTCTGGACACTTCCCCACCCACATCTACCCCTTTCATCTCTTGTATACTAGTATATACAATATACCTTGTTGATTGATTGTCATTTTAAGGATCAGAGTATTTAAGCATCTGCTTTATTGTCTTTATAATTTTGTTAAACTTGAATTTAATTTTGGGTCACTAATTGTATAGAACAATAGAACAATTTCCTGGGGAAAAAGAGAGAAATGCATATTTAAGCATGTGTTGACATGGGCATAAATCCTGTTTTGATTACATGTGTATATAAAAAGTTATGCATGGCTTATCCTTGACCACTAATTGAATAGGAAGTCCTACATATGTTGATTAAAGAAAAAGACACAGCTGTAATATTGACAGATAACAGGAAATTATGGTCACTTATCAGTATGTTCATTCAGACCATAGACAATTTAGGATTAATATCCGATTATACAAGACAGAAGCCTTATTTGATTCTATAACATATATATTTAATGAATTGATTATATTTCAAGACAAAATTCATGTTTTGAATAGCTTATATAGCATCCATTTGAATAGGTTTGATTTACCAGTGTTTTCCAGTACTGAGTATAGTAGATTTGGACATTAAGCAATTTTCTATTTAAAAATGTAGCTATGTAGCAAATAATGTAACAAATTACCATGTCCATTTTGGGGAAACTATATATGATGTTCATATGCCAGTCATATTTCTGAGTCAGTGGTTACAGAGACAAATATGTCATATTGGCAGCTTTTCACAAAATTAATTCTAAATTGCAGAATTTTTCATATCAGATTTATAACCAATTTTCTATTATTTCTTTTATTACATAATTAATATCTACAGACAAAAAGGATAAAAATTGGGTATATAAAATTTTAATATACAGGCCAATCTCTAAATTTTAATAAAAATGGAAAATGATAACAGCATGTGATCATGTATTTTAGATAAGTTTTATGTCTAATAAAAATTCTCAGAAGCGAGGGTGGGGGTGGGGGGTTAACACCATCCATTCATCAGGTGCTTGTGGTTATTTTTACCCTTTCACACAAGTTAAAAAACAAGTTTGCCCAGTCATAGTTTTGTTTATGAAATTATACTGTATTCAACTATTCTTTGAATTTGCCCACTTTTAAATTTGCCCAAATTTTGAAAACTTCCTGAAATGTAGAGCAAAAATTGGGATAAAAACAAAACATAGGAGCAGTGTATTCAAATTTCCCAATTTTTATCAGTTTTATGGACAAAATGTACATTTGGATAACCCTTATGGTTGAATGTGCTTCATTGCTCTGACTGTCTTTCTCATAAGCATATTATATCTAATTTCTAGTTATAATTTTAACTTGCAGACAGTTTATTAATTAATATGCTAAAATCAATTTCCCTTCTTGGCATTCCTTGCTGTGTGGTAAGTCCATTCATCATTGTCTTGTAATTGAATGTCATTTTGCAGAAATGGGTGGTCAGGAAAAAATGTTGTGATAAAAGAAAAATTAGTAGACAGGATTATTTTTTCTTAGGTTTACTTAAAATTATAAATTCATGAAAATTTTCTCAAGATAGGTTTTTGTTGTTTTTGAAAATCTGGTGACCAAAGGGCTTCATTATTGACATAAATTGAACTTTTGGAAGAAAATTAGTCATATTATGAAATTAGACATGACTCAGACAAGACAAAATAACAGGTTTTGTATTGGTTTAGATTGCAGCCACCAATACTCTTTCCTTGTTAAAATATGCACACAATAAAGAGACCAGTAGACATGAATGACTGAGTTATAAATTCTATCAAAAGCATATTATTCTCTTCTGACTATTTACATGTAGCACATAGTGAGTTATAGGCATTTCCTTTCTATTAAGTGTTCTGGAGGGTTTTAGAGTGATTCAGATATCTCTATTAATGGTTTGAAATGTTTGGTAAAGCTGAATTATGTGAATCCATTCAAGTGTATTTACAGTTACATGATGAATAATCAATATATTGCACATTTTCATTTCTTCAAAAATGGATGATAATGTCACATAGTAAAAGTTACCATGGTTAGATATCATTACTTCAAAACCATTTTTACCAGGGGTGTGTTCTTGAAGGTAGATGTTAAGGCTGGTTTAGTTGCCATGTATTAAAGGAAAGCATGCATAAATTTGGTAGATAACAAATTAAAAGTTTACTTAACTTTGTTCCAACTTGGTGATGGAATACTCTTTGCTAAGATGAACCTATTTAGACACCAGCTACACTGAATTGATACTTAAGCTCTAAGTCACATTTTTAAAAATAGAATTGTATGATTCTTATATATCCTTTTAAAAAGATAAGTTTGAAAATGATGAAAGCTGTTATCAATCTCAAAATATCTTAAACCAAAACAAATCTGTGAGGAGGGCATAAATAGAGACCCCTGGAAATTCCAGAGGTGGGATCAGGTGCCCAGGAGGAGAAACCATCCGTTATCAATCAGTCACATCCACTATGAGCTTTATGTATTGATCAGGTAAACAGATTATTCTGCATTCAGTATAAAAACAAAGGCCAAACTGTTGATAGAAAAGAAGTCAGCCAAAATATGACCCAGTACCCCAGTAATAGCTTATATTTACCAGCTAGTACTTACAGGGTCATTATAATTACTGTAGAATTAACTAAATGCCGACTTTTGAACATGGTTGTTGAAATCCCTGTAATATCAAGTTATCTGTCGGTAGCCTGCTTTAGTTTTAAAACAAATTGTTTTCAGAGCATATACTCTTGAGTATCCAATAAGTTGGCAGATATACATTCAATATGTAACCACAACCAAGTATATAATCACAATATAAACCATTAACCATTTGATTCTTGGCTTTCAGTATTGCAGAAGATTATGCTGAGCACAGTGAGAAGGCCCTAGCCAGTGATAAGAACCTCCTAGCCAATCCAATCAATGCTTACTTGTACATGAAGCGATTCACCATAGACTGGGATAAAGACGTGGCCCCCAACTTCCAGAGTAATCCTGAAAGTGGTAAATAAAAGCGAATTTAAAATAAATAAAAACAATTCATTTTCACCTCATATGAAATGCTTTTGGATATTTCATTGATATTTAATAAGAAAAATTAAGAAAATTAAGGTTTACACTTGAAACCACAATAATTCTTAGATACACTGTATAAAAAGGAACTTCTTAGAAAGATGATGGTACTTGTATATATATTTTTTTGGTCATATTAATGAAATGGATATTAAAGATTTCATCACTTTCTACCTATCTACAGATGTACACAAAAGAATAGAGGAGCTGAAAGGATATCTGCCCAAGTATGAGGATCTGAAGGGGGCGGTGACAGCGTTACTACGGTTACAGGACACGTACCAGCTGGATACCAACAAACTGGCCCAGGGGCGGATCCACTCCATGGTGTCTAGTTCTATGTCAGGTTAGTCCCAGGATGCTCGTCAATCTACTTCTGAATCCAAGAACAAATTAACAAATGAACAAGATGTGTTTGTGAAACACTATGCGCCCGGCAGCAACAAATTTAAAAAAAACATAGTTTTAGCATAAAGGTCACAGTGAAGTTCACAAGGTCATTGATCTTGGTGTCATTTGAAAGATCTTGATTAGTGAAGTACACATACCAAATATGAAGTCTCTACCTTTAATGGTTCAAAAGTTATGGTGAAGGTTCAAAAAAGCTATTTTAGCATATAGGACACAGTTAAGGTCACAAGGTCATTGACCTTGCTGTCATGTGAAAGGGCTTCATTAGTGGAGTATGCATGCCAAATATTAAGTCTCTATCTCTCTCCATTCAAAAGTTATGGCAAAGGTTAAAGTTTGCCGTCGAAAAAGCTATATTTAGCATATAGGTCACAGTCAAGGTCACAAGGTCATGGTGTCTTTTAAGAAAGCTTAATAAGTGTTGTATGTATACTAAACATGAAGTCTCTATCTTTCTTCGTTTAAAAGTTATGGCAAAGGTTAAAGTTGCAAAAAAAACCCTATTTTTAGCATATAGGTCACTGTCAAGGTCACAAGGTCATTGACCTTGGTGTCATTTGAAAGAGCTTCATTAGTGGAGTAGGCATATCAAATATGAAGTCTCTATCATTCATGGTTCAAAAGTTATGGCGAAGGTTAAAGTTTGCAGACAAACAGACAGACAGACATCCAGGCGCATAAAAATAAAATTATGTAAAATATAAAATGCTCTTTTTGCATGTACTGGGGAATTCTTAATACTTTTGAAATGAAATCAGAATTACAGGTTAAATATACGGTGCATGTACATGTATTATACTCAGAACCCTTTCATGAGTATGTAGCATTTGATTACTAGAAATGTTTATTAAAAATGAGATAAATTTGTTAATTTTAGAGACCAGACTGTGAAGTTGTTCAGATATATCTTTTCTACATCAGAAAAAATATTCATTTGCAGGACATTTAATGCACTGCTAATTTTAAATGATCATGATAAAAAAAGCCTGTCTTCTAATGTTATGCATGACAGCCTCTCTTTAGAAGTTTGAATGTTTATAGTATTCGTGTCATCAAACGAACTAGAAGTTAAATGAATTGCATGCTTTAAAACATTAATCAGGTAACCATCAAAAAGTCTCTACACACTGGGTGAATGCAAGCTAACATTGCCGTAGGATTTAAATTGGGCCATTGGGTTCAACTCTAACAGTATTCTCAGACAATCCTCTAATTTGCCCATGAGGAACTCGCCTTTAAAAACATGTCATTTGTTGTCACATTTGTCAGCAAAATCATCTTCAGATAAAAAGTTGAAAAGGAAAATTGTGGTGGCAATTATTTGGCTACAAGAAAAGTTTTTAGTTTGAAAAGTCCTAATATATATGTGAAGAACAAACTTATGCTTGTAAGTTTTCAGAAATACCAATTTAAAAATTTCATGAAAGTACAGGACAAGTAGAACAGAGTTGTTCTTACACTGGGGGGTCTGGAAATTTCCCTGCCTATTTGATGTCATTGCCAGTTATTTTGGTATTCTCTCTGAACTCCCTTTTTGGAGAGGAACCCAAGCGCCCCAATATTTTTAATGTCCTCTGATATTTCAATTTTTAGGGACAACTTTAAGAAAAATCTTTTACTTTTTTGGTCATAGAATTTTCAATTTGATGCTAAATTTTGTCCCCCTCTGCCTTAACTTTGATGTTTTAAAATAATTGCAGAACAGTAGCTTCTGACATAGTGATTGTATGCAATGAGACTAAACATATAATTGCCTTTAACAATAGCTATGATCTGTTTAGAATTGGCATGCTGCATGTTACTGATGTTATTTCAGCCTCTGATTGCTTTGAAATTGGAAAGCTGACCTATAACGATGAAGACTTTTATCACACCACCATGTGGATGGAAAAAGCCCTAGCCCTGGTCAGCATAGAGAAAAATCGCACTGTCCAACGGGTCGATATACTGGACTACTTAGCATTTTCTCTTTATAAAGTAAGTATGGGACTCCTTTAGGTCTCTGAATTAGCCTCTCAGATGTAAAAAGTTAGAATTCATTCAGAATGAATCTTACATTATGTTTCCTGCACATTTCTGTTACCTAGGCAAGAATGCAATTATAGTAAAGTCATTGAGAGAAAAGTTTGAAATGTGACAATGTTGTACCAGATACCAACTGTAGTTCACTCAGAATTCGATGTTTCATACAGTATTTTCTCCATTTTAAGGATTATACAAAGTCCACTTCAAAGCAGTGTGACTTATTATGGAGATCCCCCCTCCATCCACAAAAGAAGTAAATGACAAAAATCCTAGCTTTATGGCATCATTTACTAGATTATCTTTAAGATTTTCTCTGAACTGACAACTTTATTCTATTTCCAAAATTCATTGATTCAGAAGTGACTTCATAACTTGACAAGAAGTAAGTTGCACACAAACAGACAAACATATGTATTAAACATAATCTCCTTCCACCTCAAGAAGTATAAGGAGGAGCTGTTTACAGCAATGAGTGGCTTTTGTAAAGAAACTGGAGAAAATAGGTGTTACCAAATATTTATCGATTAGAAATTATCATTTCTTAATACTCAACCATTTATTTCTCTGGCTTCTGCATTTGAAAACCCTAACCTTGTTTGTCAGGTCACAAAAAGCATATCTTTGTGGTTACAAAGTGCAAGGCCAGGCATGGACACGTTTTTGAGCCTAAATATGAAAAACCAAGCCACAGTCACAAAATAAAAGTGCATGTTTGTTCTGCATGGTTTCTGTAACCTCTTTTGTTTTGGAATTTGTGCTCTGTCTTTTCTCAGAGTCCATCTCTTAGGTGCTGTCTGGAATATTTGAACTAACAGTTGCTGAATTCATGCCAGTTATTATTGCACACTATAGTTGATAAAAAGAAAGTATACAGTGCATTCAGCTAAGGACTTGATTTACTAATAATAGTTTTGCATGGCAAACTGAAAAATGGCAATATTGCCGTAACAGCAACTTATAAACCAAGCATGAGGAATGACAAATCCAGAAGCCCAGGCTTGTCTCAAAACTAGCCATTCAGTGATCTCCTTACAGCCAATGACTGCTTTGAGATTGGACGACAGGCCTATCAGAATGAAGACTTCTATCACACTGCCCTCTGGATGAAGGCTTCATTGGACAAAGAGGAGGAGGAGAAAAATAAGACTGTACCCAGGAGCTTGGTGCTCGACTATTTGTCATACGCTGCTATGATGGTATGATGTTGGCTAATTAGGAGAGGAATTTGTGAATTCTTTGTCAAATCCCAATACTGTGACTGATGTATATGGTAATAAGGGGGGAAAGTGTTAGGATGTTGTGCTTAGATCAGATTGAAACCAGGGTTCCCAAAGTCTTCTGCAGACAAACAAAAGATGATTTGTATAACCCACCTCTCTCTGTATTTCATATTTAGTATACTGTACAAGAAGAGAACTATAAGAAACACAATTTTGTTCATTGGACTTAGATATGGATCATCATTGTTGCCCAAATAAATAATGCTGGCCAAGAATTTCAAACATTGCTTTTAGGAAAGAAAAAGTCATCACTGCACATTAGTTCTTTGATAATGATATTAACTCATCTATGTTCGTATGTCCCATTTTCAGCAAGGTGATATTGAGAGGGCTCTGGTGCTGACCAATGAACTTTTGACACTGTGTAAGTATAAATCTCCTTAATATTTAGTTAATATCTTTTTGTTTTTAAATTGGAATTTAATTACTGTATACAGGGTTATTTTCGCCCCGTGTTATTTTCGCCCTTTTACACTTGTGAACAATTTTGCCCAGTTTAAAATTCGCCCACTCACAGTTCTGTTTAAGAATTAATACTGTGTTCTTTGAATTCGCCCCGTTTTAAATTCGCCCACTTGTGACGAGGACGAAAGGGGCGAAAATTTCCCTGTATACAGTATTGTCAATTTCACACAAGCTATTTTATTTTCAATAATGTCTATTTAAAATTTTCATATTTGATCTGTATAAAATCTTTACTAAAAATTTGATATTTATATATCCACATTTACATTAGCTGCAGGTCTGTAGCTCTCCGAAAAAATATATTGATAGACCGGAGAGCTACAGTGCCACCCATTGAAAAAAAATGTATATTTATTGCGCACAAAAATGTGCGCTCGGTTCTCGATTTATTTCTCCATGTTTTTAAACTGTAATCTCAAAATATTACTAACCGTATATTCCTAGCATATTCCTTCACTGTTTCCACAACCAAGCATTCCTCATAACCATTGTTAATAGTCCTCCTGACTCTGATATTGTAATCATCGAACATTTCGCTTATCTATACCATGTTATACAGCCATTTTGGTTTCAAAGATAATTCGGTCCAATATGCTTCGTTCAGATGTCAATCACGAGAATACTTGATAGAGGAGAAAGGGATTTTATGAAATCTTCCCTTTTTTGCAATTGGGGTGAGAAATTGGAAGAATTAATCAAGAACCAAGCGCACATTTTTGTGCGCAATAAATATACAGTTTTTTCAATGGGTGGCACTGTAGCTCTCCGGTCTATCAATATATTTTTTCGGCGAGTTACAGATCTGCAGCTACATTTACATATAATTACAGTTTTGTGCATTGCATAATGAGGGATTGTTCCTGTCATTTTGTAGTACCTCATCATACGAGAGCCCAGAATAATCGCAGATATTATGAAAAATTATTGGAGGAACAGCAGCGAAAGCAACGAGGCGATGACGGAGGGGCTCAGGAAACTGACGAGCCTAACGAATACACAGTACGACCCCTGGATGAATACCGAAAAGGCGAGGAGTTTCAGACCTACGAAAGTCTGTGTAGGGGAGAGGAGACACATGTAATGTCATATAGCTTTATAGAAAGAATATTTTTTCTGTTAACAGCTTTTTAGAATAAAATTGGAAGTAGAGTTGTTGTAAACTGTAGGGGGTTAAAAATACTCTGGTATATTCTGTATGTGTGCATAATTTGGCATATTCAAAATTTAGCGCAATCAAATGATATGGAGTTGTTGGCATAATCATGAATTAGCGCTACACATTTTCTCTTTATAAACGAACTCTTAGAGGTATTCATGAATTACTGCATCCTTGTCTATGCCAAAGCCGCTAAAATATGAAGCCCGCTATTTTAAGTGCACATACAGTATTACATGTACCGGTATGACATATTGCTGGAAAACTGAATTGGTAATATTTGTATGCTGATTAAAAGATTTTATTTCATCATAAAATCATGTATGTTTAAAAAAAAGTTTATAATATATATATATTGTTGATTTTTTTTTTTCCCAGGATTATAAACTGAAGCACAAATTGAAGTGTCGCTACGTAAACAAGAACAACCCCATCCTACTGTTACAGCCGGCTAAGGAGGAGGACGTTTACCTGGATCCCTGGATTGTTGTCTACCATGACGTCTTGTCGGATTATGAAATAGAGACTATTAAAAAACTGGCCACTCCAAGAGTAAGTTTGCAATACCTGGTATTCATTTAATAATAAATAAGCTGTCTTGCTTCATTGGAAAAAGAAAGCAGAACAAAAAATACACCTACATACACCAATAATATACTAACTATAAATTAGTATTTAAACACCCAATTTTATGTTAACGCCCCCAAAATCTACCTGATTGAAGATCAATAATTTACCGCCTGTCAATCATTAAAAAAACAATAGCTTGTGATTTGATGACAAGCTACCTGTGCTTCCTGATAATCTGAGTTTGCATGTTTTGAAAACAATTACCTGATCACGCGTCAAACGCTTTCATGTACCCGCATAGTATATATATATATGTTTGAATTTTATTTTTAAAAAATAATTGAAAGTAGATTATTAAAACATTGAAATAATAAAATATTTCTTTTCTATCTTCATTGCTGTTTGTTACTTGTAAGTGTTATATCGTCCACGTTTATCTGTAGAAAACAAGAACAACCTAATTGCCATCGACGAATTAAATTATTTTTTAAGAAATGGGATATAAGTACAGATAAACGGCATAGCATAGTTTTTAAAAGATGTTTTATTTTGTACTATGGCTACAATACGCACGATGTTGCACAGAAATTGATGTCAGAATTAATGCTCGAATTTCCTCTAGCGTCTGAATATACACGTAATGAAAATGTGAAGATAATTAATAGTGACCGATTCTGAAAAGAAGTCTTTTTAACAATAAAATTTTGTTAACACACGAAGAATAAAAAATATGGAATATTTTGGACAACATTGTTAGCCATAAAAAAAAAACATTCTGATCGCAGTAAATGCATGTTCAAAACTGGATCAATATTTTTTTTTATTTCCACTTTTTAAATCAATATTGATTTCTTTTATTGAAGATTAAAAAAGATAAATATTATTGATTTGTAGCGTGAATTTTTCTTTTATGCAAGGAAAACATTTTCTAAAACGATATACATGAATCTTATTATTTTTTTTCCTTCAAAACATTACTATGATTACGATGAAAGCGTTTAGTTTACAAATAAATTCCATATTAGAATAATTATTTTACGTAGTTTCACTCAAAACCAGACACAAAACACGTAATGTTGACCCTGATTACCAAACACAAAATGCTACATATACACAGATTTTTGACATACACCAGGTAAATAGCACCATATACACTCCCCCTCCTCAGGTAACCGTACGGTAAAAAAATTGGGTCTTTAAGATTAATTAGTAATTACAGTAAACCAACTTTTATTCGCGACGACTTTATTTCACGATTTACCTGGGGTTAATTAGTTCGCGACAATTAATTTTCGCGATCAAGCCTATTTAGGTTCTTTTGTTAATAGACACATAGACTTTAAGAACCGGTTTGTGGTGAAAAATATTCGCGATGACGAGACTCTCGTGAACTTCGCGAAAATTTCTCGCACACGAATAAAAGTTGGTTTACAGTAAGCTTTATTTCAAAATGATGTTTTAATGGATTTTATTGGGAACTTTTATTACATTGCCCGTGGTATTAAGATATTTTTACCCTGACAAATTGAACATCAAAATAATGAGACCGCACTGTAAATACTCTCAGAGATGATTAGGAAATTTTTTTGTTTTCACTCATTTTTGCCCACCTGAATAGGCCAAAAATAAAACTATAAATAAAGGGTATGTTATATTTCATAAACTAAAAAATTAAATGAAATATGGACTGCTTATTTTTGTTTACAAAATTTTTAGTTGTTGTAAATGTATATATAATAAAAAGTTATATACCTGAAACTCTCTTGTGATAGTTAGAAAGAGCAGGTGTATATGGGAGTGCATCGTCAAATTATAGAATTTGTAAAAGGTGAGATGTCTGACAGTCTGACAAAAAGAACATATCCATTTTATTCAAATACCCAATTTCATTGATCTCTCAACTGCAAGTTATCCTGCAAAATGTCTCCAACAGAATTGAAAAAGACTTTGATTTCCCATCAAGTGTTTTTTGAAAGTATTGTTATAGAGTTATTTTTTTTTTATAAAAGTAAAAGTACATGTAAATAGCATAGTTATGGTTCAACAGCTTTCTGTAATGATTCACTGGATGATTACATTAATTTTTTATAATGCTGTGAATCACAGTGAGTTATGTATGTATAATTAGATAATGCACATTTAGCAGATAATGAAAGTTTGTATGCACACCTGTGATGATTCATAGACCCATAAAAGGCAAAAAATCACTTCCTACTTATATTTTATGTTATATGTGACAAGTACACATTTTGATTACCAACAGAGGTACAAGCAGTTTATTGTTTTAAAATTAGGCTTTGTCTTCTAGACTTGGGTGCATCTATGTTAAAAACGGTTTCAGAAAAAAGTTATGAGTGAGAGTCTGTTTCAATTTTTAAAATTTGGAGACATTTTGATTTGAAGCAGTTCTCTTATCTTCGAAATATGATTATTACATATACGTAAACTTTTTACGTTTTCTAGTAGAGAAAATGTCATACTTTACTATGAAAAAAGCATTATTGTTTTGATTATTTGTTGTCATTAATCTCATTAAGAAAATGTGTAATTTGTTGGGAAAAAAAATTAAAATGGAAGCCAGTCTCATTTTTTGCCATCAGATGTAATTGAAAACAGTGTCACATTTTCACTCTAAGAAGAGGTCAAGTATTTATGTGACGATTTTAAAATATCCTACATTGACTGGATATTTTTCTACAATCTTTCTTTTTTTCCAATCTAGTTAGGTAGGGCTACTGTCCATAATGCCAGAACTGGTAAACTAGAAACAGCTGAATACAGAGTTAGTAAAAGGTATGCTTATCTGTGTTTGTGTTTGTTTGAGTCATCCGTTTTGTCTGTTAAAGCTGTTTCTCAGAAATAAGTGCAGAATGATAGCTTTGTGCAATAAATTGGGGATAAAAGGCATTTCTTGGGACAATAACTCCTTTATTTGGCATAATGATTCATTATTTCTAAGTTACTTCCTGTCAAATGAGCTTACTCTTTATATGCAATGAAAATATGGCTCTGTAGTATCTTTGAATTTGGGATTGTTTGTTTGGGTTTTTGCTGGGTTCTAATTAAAGATTTAGGGCAAAGAGTTTTTGACCTGTTTATCTGTATGTCTTTTTATTTAATGTTTTTAATGACTTTGAAAAACTTAAAACTTGTCAATTACTTCTCAACACTTCACCATGTTCATTGGGACTGGGGCCTTCTTGTTCACATATTTATTTTTTGTGTCAAGACCTTTCTTTGAGTAACCCAATTTTTTACCTTGACCTTTGGGAAAGACCTTCTTTTAAGAAACTTTAACCTCAATCATAACTTTGAACTGTTGGGTCTAAGGCATTGATATTTCACAAGTATTCGTATATTCCTTGAAAGAAGACCTTCCTTTGTTTACCAATATTTTTATCCTCCTTTCGGCTGTAACCTTGATGTATGACCTACTTCTGAAAAAAATTAACTTTACTTTAAACTTATGAATGGTTGGTGTCAGGGATGTTATGTTTCACATTTATAAGTATTTCTTGTTACAAGACCTTTCTTTGAATAGAAACATTTTTGACCTCGTGAACATGAATTTGGCTTTGGGCTTTAACCTATTTTTGAAAAAGCTTAACCTTGACCATGGACTGCCATATTGTGGGTAGGGATTGTATGTGTTCAATCTAATTAAAATTAGATCATTTACGCTCCTTGTATTTTGTTATGTCGCCTTACAGCAACATAACAAAATACAAGGAGCGTAAAGGATCTAATTTTAATTAGATTGTGTATGTATTTGACAATCTCATCTGTTTTTTCTCCTTGTTTTTTTTTTACCAGGTAAATTTAGAGTCAGTCTTTACTTCAGTTAATTGTTGTAGATGTAGTACATGTATTTCATATCCATATTATTTTATCTTCACAATATAGTTTCAATCATTTTGTAAACTTGACATTAAGTTATAATGTACATGCATGCACAATATATTTATACATTTAAGTATATATGTATTCGGTAATCAAAATTAAAGTTATAATTTAATTGCTGTTATAATTCAAGTTTCTTTTCAATGAAATATTTTTTTTTAATTCTTGAAAATACGCTTAAATGAAATTTGAAAAATTCCTTGAAGTACTTTTTGTTGCTCTTGAATACCAAAGTTTTCTAGGCTTCACATAAAAATGCAGAAGAAATATAGGTGTCACATTGTCTTCATCTGTCAGTTTTTTTTTGTTTTTTTTTTATGTGTGAAGCATCCTCGCTAGCAAGAGTATTTGATCTGCCCTTCTCCCCAAAATTTATGGGATGCAGGGCGGACCAAAAACCCTTGGCTAGCGTAGATGTGTGTGTGTAGTTGATAACTCAGCTTCAAACAGTGTACTTCTCTGACAGTGTCAGTTTTTTTAGTGTTTTTTTTTTTTCTCTGTGAAAAAGAAAACTCTTTATGAAGTGATATTTTTAGTCATCAGTATATTTTATTTCATTTCAGTGCTTGGTTAAAAGACGATGACGACGCAGTTATACACAATGTCAACAATAGGATAGCAGCCATTACAGGTCTGAGTATGGAAACTGCTGAAGATTTACAGGTGAGCTAAAGATGATCCTGGCATGAGATTTTTCTAGTTGTCGTGACCTCTACGTATTAGTCAAGTCCACAGAGGATAATATAACCTTGTTCAAAATTAAGAACAACAAGATGTGTTTGTGAAACACTATGCGCCCGATGGCAGCAAAGTTAAAAAAAAAGTAAGTCACAGTCAAGGTCACAAGATCATTGACCTTGGTTTCATCTGAAAGTACTTAATTCGTGAAGTACACATTCCAGATATGAAGTCTTATCTCTCGTGGTTCAAAAAGTGTGGCATATAGGTCACAGACAAGGTCATTGGACTTTGATGTCATTTGAAAAAGCTCAATTAGTGGAGTATGCATACCAAATATGAAGTCTCTATTTTTCATGGTTTGAAAGTTATGGCAAAGGTTAAAAAGTGTTCAGACAAAAAAGCTGTTTTTAGCATATAGGTCACAGTCACAGGCACAAGGTCATTGGACTTTGGTGTGATTTGAAAGAGCTTAATTAAGTGGAATATGCATACCAAACATGAAGTCTCTATCTTTCATGGTTCAAAAGTTATGACAAAGGTTAAAGTTGCAGACAAAAAAGCTGTTTTTAGCATATAGGTCACAGTCAAGGTCACAAGGTCATTGAACTTTGTGTCATTTGAAAGAGCTTAATTAGTGGAGTATGCATACCAAATATGAAGTCTCTATCTTTCATGGTTAAAAAATTATGGCGAAGGTTAAAGTTTGCAGACAAACAGACAGACAGACAGGACAAAAACAATATACACCCCACGTCTATCAATCATAAAAATAGGCCATTTAAAATAGGGCACAATCCTGAAAGCTTCTGAGTTTACCATGCAGTGATTATACATGTGTAATTAATTAAAAATATTGGTATGCAGAATTATATTTGGCAGAAATAATAATGAATTAGAATGAAAGAAATAGCACCAAGGAACCTATATGAAAAAGATTTGTTTGTGAAACACTATGCACCTGGCAGCAACAAAGTAAGAAAAAGCTGTTTTTATCATATAGGTCACAGTCAAAATCAAAAGGTCTTTGACTTTGGTGTCATTTGAAAGAACTTATTAATTAGTGGAGTATGCATACAAAATATGAAGTCTCTATCTCTCACGTTTTAAAATTTATGGCGAAAGTTTCAAAAATCTGTTTTTGGCATATAGGTCACAGTCAAGGTCACAAGGTCATTGACCTTCATGTCATTTGAAAGAGCTAAATTAGTGGAGTATGCATACCAAATATGAAGTCTCTACCTCTCATGATTCAAAAGTTATGGGGAAGGTTAATGTTGACAAACAGATAAATAGACAAACAGACAGACAGGACAAAAACAATATATTACCCTGAGCTATCGATCCGGGCACATAAATTATTGCATACACAGTAATGGTGATGCTAGCTTTTGTCTGTGAAATCTAAGAGAAAAGGAAGGATAAAAATGCAATGCACAATAACATATTTGAATTAAGAACTGTATGAAGAAATGTTTTGTATATCGATGACCTAACTTTATAGGTATTTTGTGAACCTTCTTCATTTGGAAGGAGGTAACTTTTAATCTTAAGGAAATAAAAGTTTACCAGTAAATTCAAAAATTGCTGTTTAAGGATAAATAACACAAACAAACTTTTTTTCAGAAATCAGCATTATTTTTCATAGATTTACATTTAAATTGACAACCTGAATAATATTTACCAAGTAGAGTGGGAGAATTATATAAGATTTTGTCATAAGGTTAAAAAATTGTGCAAAATTTTGTATGGAATTATATAGAAGGCAAAACAAAATCTCATATATAAGCACCAAGGAAAACCTACGATTTCTTTATATTTCAGGGATTTATTATTTATGTCATTTCAAATCAAAATCAGTCAAAAAATATATATCAACCCGCGCATCCATTTTTTGTTTGTGGTAAGTACCCTTAAAATTAATCTTGAATTTGTTATTTACAGATTGCTAATTATGGACTTGGAGGGCAATATGAACCACATTTTGATTTTGCACGGGTAGGTTTTTTTTTTTAAATCTTCCTTTGAAATCTGTAAATTTCCATAGAAAATCTGATAAAATTTTAAAAGATATATATTGTAAGATGTAATTTCTGTGTTTGTCTTACTAGTTTTTTAACATAAAAAGGACTATATTTGATATTGACCAATATTTGCCCCCAAAATTAAACTTTGAAGGAGAAATATGTAATTGTAATGTTCTAAAGCAGCTAGCTAGGGGAAACAGAGAAAAAAAATTCCCAAAAACCTACCTTGAAACTATAATATTTTTTTTCACATAGAAATTCTCATTTAAGATATACAATTCAGTGTTTTTCAAGAAATGTTCAGTAGTCAATTTTTCTGGGGGCAAATACTGCATTTAGCTCTTTAAAAAAATATTATTTTCAGTGGAAACAAATTAAGTGTCCACAATAAAAGCACTTCTGAAGATTTGTTCTTTCACATGCATATGTATTTCACTGTACCCCGGTACTTGAATATTCCCTAATTTATTATGTTTATACCTGTATTAGGATTATATTTGAGAATCAACAGATATTGATATACAACACATTGTACATAAAGGTTAATTATTCTCTGTGCAGTGTCGCTCGTGTAAAGAAAGTTGAATTTGTACATACATGTATTTCAAAAATGTTGCTCAAGTATTACCAAGGTGTTTTGTTTTGCAGTATGCTTTTGCTCTTTGAAAATGTGTTCCAGAATATAACTGTTTTAACTATATTTCTGTTCAAAAGGAGTCGAATACACAAAAAATAAAGTTATTTCTTTTTGCATGATATTAGATTCCATTTAGTATTGTATAAACTCGAATTACAGAGGACAGACCAATCAGATTTTTACATTCAAAATGGCAACCGAATTGCAACTTTTCTTTTCTATGTAAGTTTATGATAGTCAGTACATGTTTATATGTTTTGCTTTATATTTCTAACATTTAATGTGAAAAAGAACTGAAATTTGGCTTCTGGGGGAAAAAAAATTTCTGATAGACTAAAATGAGATAAAAGTAAATACACATTATTATAATATCATAATTTTTAGATGAGACTGAATTTTTTTGGCAAGTAAATTTTTAAAGTTTGGATGCATATTTTCTAAGACAACCAATCAAAATTTCAGTTCATTTTCCTTTTGATGCCGACACATAGAATGTCAAGATTGCGCCCAGCCTTGAATAAAACGCAGCATCGCATGCACAGCAAATATTCACAGGATTTAGGCATAGGATCTGTTTGGCTTTTTTTTAGCTATTTATTTTTTTTACAAAACCACATCAGGCTTTTGTTAACCTAAGTCCCTGCTGTTATGTAGGTTTGCATACTTACTAACTCAGTGGATTTTTTCTATCATCTTCCAAAACAGTCAAATTGACTTTGGTACAAGGAAAAATAATGGAGTTGGTTTCTTTTATCATTTTATTAAATTACAGAGGAAAGAGCTAGACACATCAGAATTTTACATTCAAAGTAGCAACCGAGTTGCAACTTTTCTTTTCTATGTAAGTTTATGATAGCCAGTGTTTATTATTATATATATATTGCTTTCTGTTTCTAACATTTAAGGTCAAGATCTAGTAAATGAAAGGTGCCTACAGATTTATCAAACTTTATAAATAAATTCCTTTTTATGCTTTACAATAGCTTGGTCAAATAAGGTGTTTATTATATATATATGTATTTTAAACTGTCATTTTCAATGAAAAATTAAGAAAATCAGTTTAAGTTTTTTTAGAAAAGGAACTGTATCCAGATTGCCTACAGTTTCTCAGAAAACGGTAATTAGTATGTTCATGGCCTCTTCTTTAAAACAATATCAAATTTAATATAGGTATCTGATTTACTTTTCATATGATTTCAAATTGAATGACATGAAAATACCCTATTTTCTACATAATTTTGCTAAAGCCATAAAGTACGGGAAAAAAAAGTTGAAATTTTTATAATAAATTTAGCACCAAAAAAGGAGAAAAATCATTATGATTTTTAAATGAGTCATTATGATTTTTAAATGAGACTGATGTATTGTGGCTGGTAAATTTTGTTTAAGTTTGGATGAATATTTTCCAAGATAAGTGTTCAAAATGATCAAAATTTCAGTTCTTTTTCCTTCTGATCTTTCTAGAAAGTCAAGACTGTGCCCAGCTTTGGAGAAAAAATGCAGCATCGCATGCGCAGCAAATATTAGGGTTAGGCATATAGGCCAAGTTTGGCTTAACTCAGTGGTATAACCTTGTCATGAGTTTTTCTGTATGTTTTGGTACTATTTGTGTTCAGAAAGAAGAAACCAATGCTTTCCGTGACCTAGGATCGGGTAACAGAATAGCCACTTGGCTAACTTATGTAAGTAATTCCAGATTAAAACAGAATTGCTAATTAATGCTTTAGGCAATAGACCTAACACATGGATTTTCAGACATTTTTGAAGTGTTACACACACTTTGAGTCAGACTATGTTAAAATTAATCAACAACTCTTTTCAGTGAACTTGCAAAGTAAAAAAATTATCAGATAAGTAGAAATGTAGTGTCCCATATAATAAACCTACCTTTAAAAAACCTATGGAGATTCAAAACAATAGAGAAAATTGTGCGGCTGCTCCAAGAAATTTTTTTTTAATACAGGTACATGTATAACGTATATTCTTGTCAGGTTATTTAGGGGGGGGGCAGTTTTGATGTACAATATTACAGTTAAATAAGAGACTTAAATTATGATAAATAACTCTTGTGCAGTTTTTTTTTTTCCATTTAGGAAATAGGAATTATAAATTCCTTGGATAAAATGAATGACATTTATGATGAATCTAAATTGTTACTGTATACAACTGTTTTACTAGCATTTGTAGAAAAAATAGGTAGCAATGGGGTAAAAACATCCTTGTATAAGAATTGGGATTTGGTTTAAACACTTGGTTCTTTGAGCTGAAAATCTTTGAGTCTTGCACAAGGGACAAGGTAGCATTTGGATGTAGCTGCTTTGTAATAAAACTTCAGGTGCTGGGTTTGTGTATCTTCTTCAATTTCTCTTTATAATGCTCTTAATTAAAATATATAAAAGATATATTGCTCAGTTTATAAAAGCCTTCCTGATATCATACAATGAAATATCACTTTACTTCCTTTTATATACAACATTGGTAATATTTTTATATAGATTATTTTTTAGAAAACAAGAAGAGCACATGCTCTTATGAAATACCTGAGTGTGTTGTTCATCTATCTGCTAAATTAACTTTTAAAAAATCACTCAGGGTACATGAAAAGGGAGGGTGGGAAAGAATTAAAATTCGTAATTTCTTTGTAATGTATACATGTATTAACGATAGAAAAAATATATAGATCTATGTCTATGTCCAATTTGCAAACATGTGATTTGAGCATGCAGCATTCTAATGAAATAATTACATATGTACAGATATGCAATATACTGCACCTTTATTGGAAATGTAAAGAATAGTTGACATCAAGTTTTGTGCACATTTTCTTGATGAAGAGGGGGAAAATAAAATGCTTTCAGAATTAAGTCAGAATGATAGATAATTAAATTATTAATGATAAAATAAGAGTTGTCAAAGAATAATTTTTATCAAGCATCTGTGTAAGATAAAAAAGGAACATATAAAGACTATTTATTGGATTTTCTTTTTGTGATTTTCATCTGAGATGTAGAATATGTACTAATAAAACTTTATCTGTTCAGATGTCGGACGTTGATGCTGGAGGAGCTACAGTGTTCCCATACATTGGGGTCAAGTTATTCCCTAAAAAGGTAATTTATTCATCATAATTTCATGGTCATGTTTTGTTTTTTTTGATGAATTTTACAAATCATGGTCTCCAGAGGCACTGTTTTGGTAGCATATAAAGTGTTTAAGAAATTTTGTTATTATAATTACATGTATAATTAAATGAATTTTTAAAAATTTTTAATAGGGTGCAGCAGCATTCTGGTATAATTTGTACCGAAATGGAGATGGAATTTATGACACAAGGCATGCAGCTTGTCCAGTCTTGGTCGGTCAAAAGTGGGTCTCAAATAAATGGATTCATGAGCGAAGTCAAGAGTTTAAAAGACCCTGTAGTCTCAACATGGATGAATAGCTTTTTTAAGATTATCACAAAAAGGCTTCAAAGAACCATGGCTTTAGAAACGTGTTTTCAATGAGACATATTCATCAATGGTTTGGTCTTCCATGCTCTGAATACTGTAGATTGGGAAATATTCACGATGGTTTTAATTTCGCTATGTTCGCGATTCATTAATTTTCCGCGAAATTAAATCCATCGTGAATGTTTTTATTAGTATCTAATAACGTTAGATTGCTTATAGGAAATTTTGAATTAATTTCTTGCAGCGTGAAATTAAAACCATCGCAAATGGTACTTTCTGAGATATCGTGAAATTTTAACACCGTGGAATTAAAACAATTTACAGTATAACAGGGTTTTTCATTGTGCCATGTGAACAACTGACAATCAACTTCATGCAGAGCTGAATTGATGGGCTACGCAAAATGTTTCTTCTGCAGAGAATTCAATTCTAGCTGCTAAATTTCCTGAAAAACTGACTGCAAAGTTACTTCAGTGAAAAAATAAAAATATATACTTGTATGCACATCACCAGTATGCAAAGAGTGTTCTTCTTGCCCAATCTTCAATTCATTTATAAATTGCTGTTTTTCTGTGATACAATTAATATTGAGAGGGGTCATCTCATTTTTAGCTCACCTGAGCCGAAGGCTCAAGTGAGCTTTTCTGATCAAAATTTGTCCGTTGTCTGTCGTCGTCGTTGTCGGCGTCGTCGGCGTAAACTTTTCACATTTTCATCTTCTTCTCAAGAACCACTGGGCCAATTTCAACCAAACTTGGCACAAAGTATCCTTGGGTGAAGGGGAATCAAGTTTGTTAAATGAAGGGCCACGCCCCCTTCCAAGGGGAGATAATTATGAATTTGTGAAAAATTTATGACATTTTTAAAAAATCTTCTTCTCCAGAACCACTGGGCCAGGAAAGATGAAACTCATGTGGAATCATCCTCAGGTAGTGTAGATTTAAATTTGTTCAAATCATAACCCCCGGGGCAAAAGTGGGGCCAAAATGGCCGACCCAAGTTTTACATAGGAATATATAGGAAAAATCTTTAAAAATCTTCTTCTCCAGTAACTGGGCCAGGAAAGATGAAACTCATGTGGAATCATCCTCAGGTAGTGTGGATTCAAGTTTGTTCAAATCATGACCCCCGGGGCTAGGGTGGGGCCAAAATGGCCGACCCAAGTTTTACATAGGAATATATAGGAAAAATCTTTAAAAATCTTTTTCTCCAGACCCACTGGGCCAGGAAAGATGAAACTCATGTGGAATCATCCTCAGGTAGTGTGGATTCAAGTTTGTTCAAATCATGACCCCCGGGGCTAGGGTGGGGCCAAAATGGCCACCCAAGTTTTACATAGGAATATATAAGAAAAATCTTTAAAAATCTTCTTCTCCAGTACCACTGGGCCAGGAGAGATGAAACTCATGTGGAATCATCCTCAGGTAGTGTGGATTCAAGTTTGTTCAAATCATGACCCCCGGGGCTAGGGTGGGGCCAAAATGGCCGACCCAAGTTTTACATAGGAATATATAGGAAAAATCTTTTAAAATCTTTTTCTCCAGAACCACTGGGCCAGGAGAGATGAAACTCATGTGGAATCATCCTCAGGTAGTGTGGATTCAAGTTTGTTCAAATCATGACCCCCGGGGCTAGGGTGGGGCCAAAATGGCCGACCCAAGTTTTACATAGGAATATATAAGAAAAATCTTTAAAAATCTTCTTCTCAAGAACCACTGGGCCAGGAGAGATGAAACTCATGTGGAATCATCCTCAGGTAGTGTAGATTCAAGTTTGTTCAAATCATGACCCCTGGGGCAAGGGTGGGGCCAAAATGGCCCAAGTTTTACATAGGAATATGTAGGAAAAATCTTTTAAAATCTTCTTCTCAAGAAACTGGGCCAGGAGAGATGAAACTCATGTGGAATCAAGGTAGTGTAGAAAAATCTTGACCCCCGGGGCTAGGGTGGGGCCAAAATAACCTTTTTAAATAGGGATATATAGGGAAACCTTTTAAAATCTTCTTTTCAAGTACTTCAAAGCTATGATTTGTGATATTTATATGGAATCATCCACAGGTAGTGTAGATTCTAGTTTGTTCAAATGATGAATGCCTGGAGGGGGGTGGTGGAGTAAATTCAAGCCTGATGTGCTCAGGTGAGCGCTGTGGCCCCTGGGCCTCTTGTTATTTTTCATGTGATGAGAGATGAGTGTGCTTGAAATGTGAACAAATGAATGGAAGTTCAGGTGAAATGCATTTGTTCATGGTGATATTATTGATTCATTTCACAATTGCATTGTAAAAATGTTTCAGTTTGATTTTATTTTTAATGTATGGTAGTAAATTGTATTTTCCTTCAGTTGTTGTCTGAGGTTTTTTTAGAAGAAAAAAATTACGTGAGGTTTATAAGAAGTAAAAAATCTTTATGGAGATAACCTTTTTACATATTAGAGTATTTATCTACATGGGCAGTTGAAAGTAAGATACATATACATCTATTTACAATTTTGAAATCCATTATTGATATTAATGCACCAGTGCTGTATTAATTGATTAGCTTTATCACAACTGTATATTTGCTTAGAAACTTTAATGCCTTTCCCATCATGAATATGCATAATAATTATGAAGCAGATTATTCAAACTATGCTGAATGGATTGTACTGTACTTTAAAAATTGTTTTACATTGTAATGTATTTTTATATGCAAGAACAGCTGTTAATTTAGCTCTGTCTATTAAAAAAAAAAATTGCATTTCACTGCTTCCAATTAAATGTAGAATCTTGATATCTTTTATGCTGGGGGTATATGATCTCGATGCTTTAAGTTCTTTTTATTATATATTTTTGTTCACAGACCATTGTATTTGGTATATTTGTGAAAAACTCTCTCCACAGTTTTCACTTGTTTACTGAATTGAATGTCTGATTCACATCTATTTATATTTTTTTTTCCTTTCAACCTGATTGGAAGAATTATGTGGATAGAATAAAAAAGAAAAAAAACATGGTTGTTGATTTTTATCAACTTATGCCCTGTTCATATGACGAGTTTAATTCGCATTAAATTAATGCAAATTAAATTGCGTTCACACGACAGGTAATGCGAAGTAAACTAATGCGAATTAAAATTTTTCCTCTACAGTCAGGCGTCACTAAGCCTATTATGACGTCATTTGTAAATCACGTCATGTATGCAGAGCCATCCTTTGATACATCATGTAGAGGTTACAGGTATTCATTGATTTTAGTGATTAACATACTTTTCCTCAATTTTTGAACCATATATAGCACAAATACCCATATATAACCACCAACAGGTGCCCTGTGACTTAATTCTGGCCTTACGCATGCATCAAAATTTAATTCAAATTAGCTTCGCTTAGCGTTCACACGGAGCTAATGCGAAGTAATTTAATGCGCAGTAAATTAATTCGAATTAAACTAATTTGCATTAAATTCTCCGTGTGAACACTAAGCGAAGCTAATTCGCAGTAAATTTACGTTTAATTCGAATTAAACTCTCTGTGTGAACATGGCATTAGGCTATCTTTGAAATAAGTCACCTACAAGTATCACTGAGTGTTCAATAAATTTTAGTAGTTCAATAGCAAGATGTAAAACTTGCAGGAAGCCAGAAAGATTATCGAGTGAAATTTGCACTCAGCAGTCAATGTCAGTCTTTACAATATCTTACGATGAGAGAATCTCAGTTATTTTCCAAAGACAAGTTATAATAGAGCTTTTCAAAAATCTCCCAAAATTAAAACATGGAAAAAAGATGGCTCTGAGATTTGGATGAAATCAAATTTTATCCACTCCATGTGATAAACCTCCTCTTTACACAATAAAGGTAGATAAATATACCAGTATTTTGTACAAATTTTATAAAGCAAGCTAGATTATGCATCATTTAAAATGGCAGACAGGTGATGACAGTTTAGAAACATTTTATGCATACAAACTCTGCATATTTCATGTTACATGTACCAATTCTGATTAGGAAAATGGACAGTGATCTGTTCTTTCAATTTAAATTACTCAAACTTCTGCTGCTAAAATTAAAAGCTTAATTATGTAATGGGTGAGGAGAAAATGCAGCGGACCAGACTGGGATTCAAACCCGGGCCCCCTGAAGCTCCGGTCAGATGCTCTACCAACTGAGCTATCTGGCCACCGGCGATCGAACCCGGCTGACCGACCGCCACATTCCTCCCCCCTTAAAAGTCTTTGGCCCTCCAAAGACCTCAACCCAAGCTCATCCTGGTCACGGCAACAAATGTAATGGGAGAGGAGAAAATGCAGTGGACCAGATCGGGATTCAAACCCGGGCCCCTTGAAACTCTGGTCAGATAGCTCAGTTGGTAGAGCACCTGACTGGAGTTTCGGGGGGCCTGGGTTTGAATCCCAATCTGGTCCACTGCATTTTCTCCTCTCTCATTACAATTATGTACCTATAAAAAGATTTTAAATCTTGGTACTCAAAAAAATTATATTCAACAAAAAGAAGAGAGATGTGTCAATAATGATTTATTTTCTGAAATAAATCGTAAAATATGTAGTCTCTCAACAACAATGAAAACAAAAAATGCAAATTTTGTATAAATGACAGACGATACACAGCAGTTCACAAAAATTTCACTACACAGATCGCAAAAAAAATATGATACTGTATTTAACGTCAGTACTTATATTCTTTTTGATTAATATAAAGACAAAAATAAATTTTCAGTATAAAGAACAAATAATGTGAATAATTCAAATTCAACAGAAAATGAGTACTCACAAAGATTTCACAACAAATTATTTTTAATCTAATTTTTCTTTAAAAGGATGTTTTTAATCAATAGTCACTACAGGACATAAATCAATTATATACATGTATGCATGTACACAAAAATGCCAACATCTAATGCACGTACCGATATATGTGTACAACCTTTGTCATGCAATGCTTTTGAGATTTACAATACCAGGTATATGTTGTAGAATAATGAACTGAAATGCTGTAATATCAATCATTTGCAAACATTAAGTGAACACAGTTCTAAATCCAAATTGCACAAACTTGCTGGAATGTAGGAAAATACATGTAGTAGTACAACAGATTTTTCTCAATAGTTAATATACGAGTACATGTATCAATTTAATACTCTATCACAAAAACTTTTCAAGAAAACAAAAAACTTTTCTCAAATGAACAATACCAATATTGTGTAGTCATAGAATAGGGAAAGAGGTTAAGTTTAATACCCTAAAAGCTATTAAGGAAATAACTTCATAAGTAACATCTACTGGGAATTTAATACAATTACATGTAGTATGCTACCCCCCAAAAAAAACCATTCCAAGAGATTCTAACATTAATATCTACATTTACATACTTTTTTCAAGTATTGGAAGATACATGACTAATAAGGCAAAAAGAAATCCATAATATTGGAGAAATGATCCCAACATAACTGTCACAATCAGATTGGTAAATAATATCAAAGAAAAAAATATCACAGATCAATGCAACAAAATGTAAAATATCAAAAACATTTCAGCAAAAAACAAGAGGCCCAGGGGCCACATCGCTCACCTGAGCAAAAAAAAAAATCAGATCAGAACTGAAAGTTTACAGCAAAACTCTCAGGGGGTCATGATTTGAACAAACTTGAATCTACACTACATGAGGATGATTCCACATGAGTTTCATCTTTCCTGGCCCAGTGGTTCTTGAGAAGAAGATTTTTAAAGATTTTTCCTATATATTCCTATATTCCTATGTAAAGCTTTGATCAGCCATTTTGGCCCCACCCTACCCCCAGGGGTCTATATAAATTTAATGAATCTTTCCTGGCCCAGTGGTTCTTATAAGATTTTTAAAGTATATTTCCTATGTAAAACATTACGGCCATTTTATACCCCCAAGGGTCATAATTTGAACAAATTTGAATCTACACTACCTGAGGATGATTCCACATGTTTCATCTCTCCTGGCCCAGTGGTTCTTGAGAAGAAGATTTTTAAAGATTTTTCCTATATATTCCTATGTAAAACTTTGATCGGCCAACGCCGTGGGTCATGTGTCTACACTACCTGAAGATGATTCCACATGAGTTTCATCTTTCCTGGCCCAGTGGTTCTTGAGAAGAAGATTTTTTAAAAATGCCATTATTTTTTCTCTAATTCATGAATATCTCCCCTTGGAAAAGTTGAAATATCCCCTTTTAAGGATACTTTGTACAAGTTTAGTTGAAATTTAGTGGTTCTTGAGAAGAAGATGAAAATGTGAAAATGACAACGCCGACGACGACAACAACGACAACGGACAAATTTTGAGAGCCTGTAATGCTAACGCATTGTGTCTGTATTTTGGTATGAGAAAATGCATAATTTCAGTTGAAATAGCTTTTCCAAATACATTTATTCAAATAAATGATTGATTTCAGATTATGAGAGCCTGTGTGTTGTTTTTTTTTAATATTTGCAAAACAAGTACATGTATTTGTAAAAAAAAGTTGTTTTTAAAAGGTTAAAGTAAATTGCTTAAATATTCAATTTAAAAAAATCCTTTTCCATATGTTTAGGTGTATCTTTAAGTAATTTTTTATCCACCCAGCCTTCCTATAGATACTTTAATTACACAATTTATGCTTTTTACATGATTTCAACCTTTGGAAAAAAATTTGGAAAAAATTACACTAAAACAAAAGTACAAACAAAGAAAAGAAAAAACAAACAAAACATAAAGAAATCTAGATTTCAACAAAAAATGCATGCTTTCAAAAAGAACTAAATCTTATAACAACCATTTAAGCATTGTTTACTAAACTATACTACATGAACATGTTCTTTGTCTTGAAGACTCCTGTTACTAAACCTCCCCATATCCTACTATTCCTTGCTATTCTACTTATATCAAACATAGTAAATTGTATTCCAACTTGTATTTCAACACTTAAACTATACGTTAAATACCATGGTATTACATTGTAATAATCATCTTCACTAGCCAAGGGTTTCTGATATGCTACTCTCCTCATGAATCCTTGGCATACTGCGTAGTCAAAAGATGGGATTGTTTTCATCACGTGATCTCGAATCCTTTATGCACTGATTGCGTCATCGACAGAAATAAAAACGCGTGTTTAAAAATAATTAGACCAAGTTTTTTTTAAAGAACAATTAAGAAGCAATAATTGGGTTATGCTTATTTATTATTTACTGTACAAATCTGGACTTCAATATAGATTTTTAATCACATACTTAGAAGATATTGGATGACACCATAGCTATTCATAGAATTGCATGTTATCTTACGGAGCATTCCCGAGATTAAAGAGTCAAGAAGTATCCCGAACGCAAATATGTCATTTACAAAAAACAATTGCTGATTGGTCAACTGGGTATACCGAATCCCAATCAGAACTTGAGAAAAAAAACCAACTTCTATCAACAACGTATGCCAAAGGATTATAAGGAGAGTAATGTATCAGAAACCCTTGGCTAGCGAAGATGTGTAATAATTGAATCTATTACTTATATGACTTGACATGAAATGACTTTACTACATGTATAATATAATGCCACAATTAAATGAACAATTCTTGATCTGAAAGCACCAATAATTTCACATCCCTAAACTCCGAAAAATGATTTTCAGACTTACAGCTACTTTAAAACAAATGAGTTCAAATGTACAGTATCCGCAAGAAGATATTTACATTAAAATATGGTAAAGGTACAAGTATATTGCACTATTGTATACCAAAATCACAAAAAAACAATTGTTATAAACAATTGCATTAAAGAGTTATAATAATATGACACATCTAAGAAAGAAAATAAATTTTACAAGGAAAATGACCATGATTATTTGAATTATTGCACATAGGCTGAGAAATCAATGAACATTGATGCATCTTGATGCAAAAGATTTTCAGAGATTCAATGCAACTTTTCAATATATATAACAAAAAAAGTGAACAATGAAAAATGTAGAATGAAGTCTTTGTGTTATGAATCTGCTTTTCTTCATTTTTTAAAAATTTCTATCCAATTCATCATCCGTTGATTCAGAATTACCAGTAATATCTTCCTTTTAAGAAAATTTGGTTGTGGTATTGTGTAACTGCATGAATTATATTGAATTGCCATAAATATAAATACACAATTTTCTTTTAGGGATTCAGGTGAAATGCCACTGAACAGTTAGTTTTTTAACAATCATTTTATGGTGTGGACAGGTGATCCTGGGTTGCTGTTATAGGGGCATAAGTCATCCTTGTGACTGCCCACACACTCCACAATTGGCACATGTCCACTATCCCACATTCCAGGCCCACACAGTGAGCATAAACCATGCAATGTGCAAGGAATTCTGGGTAATTTTCTATAGTGATGAAGGAGTCCTCTAGCCTTAAAAATGTAATTTTTTTCAAACATTCAAACAGAATTTTTTCAACAATTACAATTAAGTCTAATATTTTTTTTAAAATACTAATCTTTAATAATATTTAAATGTAAATAAATCTTTTACCAATACACTGTAACAAAAGAAAGGAATATTCATAGCTACCTTTCTGAGAACAAGTTGACCATTCATGTGCATGGCAAGACTGCTGAAGTGCAAAAGAATTTCATCTGAGGGGAGACCCTGATCTATGACATCATCACCATAAATACTGACGATGGCCATGCATATAAAGAGGTGGAAATAGTCTGTCTGATAGTGAGACCAGCAGGACTCCCAGATCTTCAGGGCATCTGTCTCCGGGAACTCCCTCTTGAAGCACAGCAATATCCACCTACAGTATACAGATGACACATTACAAGTATAAGAGATGAAGAGAATACATATCAAAGGTACATCTGAAAGATATGGGAAATAAAATTATTCAATGGCTTTTACCTGTGGCAAAATAACAATTCCATCGCGTCTTCACCCAGTCTTTGCAGGTGCATGTAGAATTCATTTTGCATTAGTCTTAGCAACTCTCTTAGATAATTCTACAATAATAGAGTATCTGTAGCTAAATGTTCTGACCTGTACAGATTAAAGGTTCACAACATTCAAATGAAAACTTTAGCAACACAGCCTAAATAATGTTGATTTAAAAAAAATATCTTTAATTTCTTTAAAAAAATATCGTAAGTTATCATAAACAAGAGGCCCATGGGCCACATCGCTCACCTGAGCACCAAGGGTAGGACTAGTATAAAATGGCTTTTTATTGTAAAGTTTAAATCCAAAAGTAGTCCCATGTCCAATCATGGATTTGCTATTTTTTAGAAAATGATTGAGAAGAAGATTTTTAAAGAATTTTCCTATATATTTCTATGTAAAACTTTGGTCGGCCATTTTGGCCCCGCCCTACCCCCGGGGGTCATGATTTGAACAAACTTGAATCTACACTACCTGAACATGCTTCCATATAAATATGATGAATAATGGCTTTGTCATTCTTGAGAAGAAGATTTTTAAAGAATTTTCCTATATATTTCTATGTAAAACATTGGTCGGCCATTTTGGCCCCGCCCTACCCCCGGGGGTCATGATTTGAACAAACTTGAATCTACACTACCTGAGGATGCTTCCATATAAATATGATCAATTATGGCTTTGTTATTATTGAGAAGAAGATTTTTAAAGAATTTTCCTATATATTTCTATGTAAAACCTTGGTCGGCCATTTTGGAAACCCCCGGGGGTCATGATTTGAACAAACTTGAATCTACACTACCTGAGGATGCTTCATATATATATGATGAATTATGGCTTTGTCATTATTGAGAAGAAGATTTTTAAAGAATTTTCCTATATATTTCTATGTAAAACTTTGGTCGGCCATTTTGGCCCCGCTCTACCCCCGGGGGTCATGATTTAAACAAAATTGAATCTACACTACCTGAACATGCTTCCATATAAATATGATGAATAATGGCTTTGTCATTCTTGAGAAGATTTTTAAAGAATTTTCCTATATATTTCTATGTAAAACATTGGTCGGCCATTTTGGCCCCGCCCTACCCCGGGGGTCATGATTTGAACAAACTTGAATCTACACTACCTGAGCATGCTTCCATGTGAATATGATAAATTATGGCTTTGTCTTTCTTGAGAAGAAGATTTTTAAAGAATTTTCCTATATATTTCTATGTAAAACATTGGTTGGCCATTTTGGCCCCGCCCTTACCCGGGGGGTCATGATTTGAACAAACTTGAATCTACACTACATGAGCATGCTCCCATATAAATATGATGAATTATGGCTTTGTCATTCTTGAGAAGAAGATTTTTAAAGAATTTTCCTATATATTTCTATGTAAAACTTTGGTCGGCCATTTTGGCCCCGCCCTACCCCCGGGGGTCATGATTTGAACAAACTTGAATCTACACTACCTCAGCATGTTTCCATATAAATATGATGAATTATGGCTTTGTCATTCTTGAGAAGAAGATTTTTAAAGAATTTTCCTATATATTTCCATGTAAAACTTTGGTCGGCCATTTTGGCCCCGCCCTTACCCGGTGGGTCATGATTTGAACAAACTTGAATCTACACTACCTGAGGATGTTTCCATAAGTTTCATCTTTCCTGGCACAGTGGTTCTTGAGAAGAAGATTTTTAAAATATACCACTAAATTTTCATTAATTCCCAATTATCTCCCCTTGAATAAGGGTGTGGCCCTTCATTTGAACGAACTTTAATCCCCTTTACCCAAGGATACTTTGTGGCAAGTTTGGTTGAAAATGGCCCAGCGGTTCTTGAGAAGAAGTCAATTATGTGAAAAGTTTACAGACAGACAGACAGACGGACAGACAGACGGACAGACGGAAGCCGGACAAAATGTGATCAGAAAAGCTCACTTGAGCCTTCGGCTCAGGTGAGCTAAAAATGCCATTTTTTGATGCTTTAGACATGGAAAGAAAATTAATTTAAGGCCACATAATGACAGGTGTATTCCTTTTTTCTTTCTTACCAGTTGTTTGTCCATGTCACTGTCCTTGGGAGAGCTGACAAATATGGTCCCCTGCATCAGACCTGTAAAACACCAATAGGCGTCCACCTCATTCTGAATCTCAGCCAACACGGGGGCCAGCAGGTCAGACATCCCCTGGGTGTAACCCATTCTAGGATTGGCCACTGCATAATTCAGCAAAATGTTCCTGAAAAGCATCAACAGCTAGGTTTCAGGATATATATGATATAACATTAAGATTTCATATTTTCAAATGCTCTGCTAAAAACATAAGTTCATCAGTGAAATGTTGAGTGAAGAAACATTAGTCCTTTCAATTTTTGGAATTCACGCTACTAAGTAGGTTAATTATGCATTTTTCATTATCATTCCTGTTGTGTCAAAAGCTTTCAAGATTTTCTGTAAACAATACAAAGAGACTTACTGAAGGACTTCAATATTAGGATTATCATCTCCTTTGAAGTATGGATGACTGCGGTCAGTTCTGACTACATCTTTCTCCACAGTTGACTGTATCTTCCTCCAGAATTGTTCTCTCTCCTCAGGTGTCATGTCTTCCCTTAATAAGACCAAAGTCTAATTAGTCATTTCGTCATATTATTTGTCATATTATTTGTGGTTCCCAGTAAATCTGAATATTAAAATGGGTCAAGTCTTGCCAACCCAGCTGCCTTATTGCTTTTTTTTTCTGCAAAGACTTGTTTTCCACAGCAATGTATTTTCTTATTATAAGATACCCTCATAAGAAGAAAAATTTTATCCTATTCACTATTTATTAACTTTCTGGCAATAATCTTTAGAATGAGTAAAACATTTCATCACTAAAACTTATTAATTTCTAAAGAGTTAATTTCAAGAGTTAGAAAGCCTCTAAACATTATTTGTTACCTCATTTTCCTGATGTCCTGGTACTGTATGTATCGGTCATTCCTGATGGCTTCCCTCTCCTCAAACGTGGAATCCCAGGGGTAGTAGTGTAGGAGGAAGGGCCAGGTCTCGTGTCTCAAGTGGGGGTCTAGTCCCCCAAAGAAGATATGCTGTAATTTACAAAACCTATCAAAGTCAGGATTGTTGGCCTTCAAGTAAAAGATTATAAGGTTTCCTGTCAACATTTAAGAATCACTTTACATGATTTTTTTGTGAAATGAAAGAAACAGTGCCTGCCCTTACAGTTAGAGAAAAGTTTATACATATACACCTAAAATTTTAACATTTATGAAATCAAATTTTATTTTTTGGGCCAGGGGGAGGGGAGGTTTTAAACATTTTCATTTGTGAGGGAAGGGGCACTATGTAGTACTATGTAAGAATTCTTGACATGCTGTCCCTCCCCCTCCCTACCAGTTCCTATGACCATGAGATTTAGATGGAAGACAGGCACTGACCTTCCTGAGTTGATAGTCTTCCTCGATTCTCCCATCACTTGTCATGTGGATCTTCCACTCCTCCTCGTTCACCATGTTGTAGATGCCCTCCTCTGGATGACACTGTTCATCTGTAAGGTGAGGCCTCACGATCAGGAACTGTTTATACTGCCCCTCATTCTCCTTGTTCTTCTGAAAATAATGATGTTAAAAAAATGTGATTTTTAACGATAATCGGCCAAAAATATCAGTGATATATTAGTCTTTTCCAGGAGTGTCCATAAATTTTTTTTTTTTTCTCACTTAAAACAAACTGATGAGTGTACTATTGTCTGCTAAATTTTGTTGCAAACATTTGTCAAGAATATGTCCAAAACAATGAAATTTTGATTACAACTCAAATGCTTATCCTTGAGAAAAAAGTTCTGCTTCATCAGTTGTGTATGTATTATTATTATTTTTCACATAATGCAAACCTTATCTTTCAACTTGGCAAACAGGTTCCAGTCTTCAAAGATTTCGGCCAGCTTGTCTAGACCTCCGTGATGGAAGTGTAGGATTTTGTACTGGCTCTCTCTGCTAGCTATCACCACTTGTCCTCTGGTGCAGTAGGGGTCAGAGTAAAACAGTCGTAGGGACCTCATCTGACCTACAGGATTAAGGATTTGGGACATTTACTTCAAACTCATTTACTGCATTATTTATACTGGTCGACATACATAGAAATAAAACCTAATTGGATCCTTAATAAAAAGCAAACTAGGAGTAGTAATTTTTTTTCTGAATAACATACAGGTAAATGAATCAACCATCATATTATTACACATAATTTTTTTTTTCACACTTCGCATAGAACCTGTTTATATATGTACCTCTAACTTTCATAATGAATATACTGATCAGAACAACATATACTGTAATTATACATACCAAGATCTACTGAGAAGACTCCACACATCTGATCCTTAGCGCTCCTCTTCTCTTGTGACCCCATGGCGTACGACACAGAGCTGTGAGGAAACGTCATGTTGTGTGACACCTGGACTGATCCTTCACTGCTGGGGGAGTCCGGGGACTTGTTCCACGTGGGGGACAGGGGAGGGGACTCCCCCTCACTTGGAGGTTCAGAGTCCGGCCCCGAGGTCAGTGAGGAAGAGGAGGAGGAGTGTCGACATCGCGTCACCGAGATGTCAGGGGTCGTCAGAGACGGAACCGAGTAATAGCCATCGCCATTGGCATTAGTGCTCAAGTTCAGGTCTTTAGGAACATTGGTCCTTGTTGATGGTTTAGCTGTCCCCTCTGTCACTGTCTCAGAGCTGTCACAGGTGCTAGAGCCATTGTCATGAGCAGAGAAACTGTCTCGCAGATCATCAATCATTCTGTTATAGTGAGCACCTGAGGGGCTCGGATGTGTCGAATCCGAACTCAGACTTATTCCTTCTGCATCTGTTGATTGTGAACTAGAGCTGGTGTCAAATTTACTCTCATTTTTATTCAGGTTCTTGTCAGTTATGTATTTGTCTATGTTCATGGACTGTGGTTTGTCAATTTCCTCTGTAACTACAACCAAATTATCACCATCCATTTCGATGCTTACTGATTTATTAGACTCCAGTCTATTTCTAGCTTTAGCATGGAGTTTGTTCCTCTTTAACAGGGCTGCCATTTTTTCTTCAGCAGTAAGACCATCAGTTGTGTCTGAAGAAGAGATGTCTTCCTCTGCACCATTTCTATTGTCAGTTTTCAATTCCGTGTTACTATCTTTCTCAACATGCAAGTCATTGACATTTCTACCAATATTCTGACATTTTTTGGGAATATTTTTCTCATTATTTTGCAATACATCCTCTGTATCAATACCGGAATCGGTTTGAGATTTATTACTTGTGCTCAACTTCCTGTTGGGTTCCTCCATCTGAGACCAACTGTCTAAACAGTCTTCTCTAGAACCCATAGAAATTTCTGAATTCATACTGGAATTGTCAATGCTCTGTTTTTTCTTGTTTTTAACTGGGCCTTTGCCCATATAATACTGTTCACATGCATCACTGCCCACAGATACACATGACCCCCTTGGAGAACTGCTTGGGGAGGGAGTTGTGACCTGTTTTCGGGCATACTCTTGTCTTGGAGTTCTTTTTGGGCTTGGTGTTGTGGCATAAGACCTGTTTGGGCTCTCGATGCTTTTAGGATTCTTTTTTAAGGAAGAATTGGGTATCCATGTCAGAATCAATGTTGGTCCATTTTTCTGGGGAAAAAATAAAGAATAAGAAGCATGACAAACAGTTACATACTGTAAATGTACATAACATAGTGAAATAAATAAATGAAAAAGTATCATTCAGAAATCTAAGGCTCTCGCGAACCTCATGAAATTTTTTCTCAAAGTTAGTTTACAGTAGTTTATGGTTTGTCCTGTCTGTCTATTTGAAAAAAAATGTTAACATTGCCCACAACTTTTGAACTGTTGGTGCTTTAGCTTTCCTTTGTCACATGTGCATTTCTTGTGACAAATCTCTCTTTGCATACCATTATTTTATACGCCATGACCTTGGTCTATAAGCTTGACCTATTTTTGTAAACTTTTACCAACTTTAACAGTGGCCAAAACTTTTATACCTTTCATTTTTGTCTTTTTGTGAAAAGGCCTTTTTTTTTTACGTGCCATTATTTTTTACCTTACGACTTTGACCTTTGAGTTTGCCATACTTTTGAAAACCTTAGCCTTTGTAATAACTTCTGAATGATTGGTGCTAGGGCATTAATATTTCCACATCTATTTCTTTTGACCTTTTGTTGGGTACTTTTGTTTTTTTTACTTCATGACCAAAACCTTGAGATTGACCTATCATTAAAAAAACTTTCATCTTGGCCTTAAGAGGCCAACTGAACGCATCAATATTTCACAAACACATTTTTCTATTTAAAGTTACTGTATTATTACATTAAAAAATCAATGCACATTTCTGAGTATCTTATAAATAATAAAAGAGAATAAATGCTGGCTTACATCATCGTCATTCTGTGACCTCAGGGTTAAGTAGCCTGGGTGGTGCTCTTCGTTTTCCATGGCCAGAGTTGCCGGCGGGTGGACACAGACATTGTTTTTACAGTAGATGATTTCTCCATCCAGAGGGGGTGGCTTCAGTTGATCAGAACCAATCCCAAGTAAAGTTGTGGCCTTCTTGAAGATGGTTCCTAGAGCCATTATAGAATCCATCTGGATTCCCCTTACAAGGTCAAAGACTGGATGTTAAAGTCACTGATACAACAAGGACATGGTTCTTCTGCAAAAAAAAAAATAAATTCCAGATAAACAAAAAAGTATTAATTAAACAGACAAACAAGATGAAGAGCGGTGCTTCTTCTAGCTGTTGATTAAGGGATTTCTGACACTTCTCTTATGACGGTAGTCTTTAATTAATTGGAAAAACAGTCAAGTCTGCTTACAGTGGACTACAAGTCATTCAAATCAGGAAGGACTTAGAATCTCCTGGAAAAACTGCTGAGCTTAATTGTCAACAGACATTCCTCATAAGGAAAGTTTTTCTGGCATTGATTTCATGACAGACTTAATTGCTGGAGAGGGAGATCATAGAATTGTTTTGTGGAAATACGCCCAACATAAGAACTAAAAGCATGCAACTGTCTGGGTCTATTGTCTTCATGTGAAAACAGGGCTTTAAATCTATGTAATATGCAGTCTACATTTTATTAATATACAGTTGAACTTTGGCATCTTGAACACCAATACTTGAATAATATGGATACTGTACACAGTGTTATTTTTGCCCCATGTTATTTTCGCCCTTTTGCACTTGCTTACAAATTTGCCTGGTTTTAAATTCATCCAGTCTCAGTTCTTAGAATTTATACTGTGTTCTTTGACTTCGCCCCGTTTTAAATTCGCTCATTGTGACAAGGGCAAAGGGGGCAAAAAATTATGCGGGGCAAAAATTTTCCTGTATACAGTATGTCAAAGTGATTTGGAAGTTCATACCACTTATTCTTTTAAGTATATTTCCTGGTATCTCAAATTCTCCAATATCTCCATTTTTTTTTTGGTTCCATCAAGTTCAAAGTAACAAGGTTTGACTGTATTTTAATAAATCATCATTAAATCATAAGTAACTCATTGGGACTCAAACACTATATATGTTCGCTACAAGTTTTATAAAAGGACGGAGGGAAGAAAACAAGAATGAGACATAATTACCCAACAGCAGAAGAAAAATCTTTCAAATATTGATCACCAAAAGGAAGTTCCCTACCCTTCTTCATTGAGAAACACATGATAAATAGTTTTACTTGCGTCACAATTCAGACCGTGAAAAGATCATATAATCTTAGATGACACCACTGCAGTGAATAAGATCAGTCAGAAGCCATTCAGAAAACACTATCTATTGATCCTGGCATGTACTCACCAAGAAGTTTGTGTAAGGAGAGATAGTTTATTGACATTGGTGGAAGTCTGGAAAACGGGGGAAGAATGGCCAAGCAAATCAAATCAGTCTTTATCACTGCTACATCATACTAAAATCAATGGTGATCACAGTATATTTCGAAGTGTGTCCAAACTTTCTATTAGTTTTTGTCAGTATATTTTAATCTGCACTCCAAATTTATTAATCTATATGCATCTCACATATACTCACAAACACACACACATAAAAAGACATACAATTAAATCATCATTAACCGAGTTGATCATTTGAATGCGTTTTATGTCCTACTGAATTTAAAAGCTCCATTAGGTTTATTGCTCATATTTCACAAAAAATGTTCACTTTTTTTGTTTTTGGAAGGAAATTGACATTTTGAAATTGACTGGCTTCTCCTCTGAGCATATAATTATAGTCATCTCAATATGACATAAAAGATTGATGAAAAAAAAAATTATCTCACTAAGGGAAATTTCAAGTGGAGGCTCTCTGAACTTTAAAATGATTGTTGGCATTATTTTTTTCTGGGCTGTGTTGCTTTTAAAATGTGTCAGTCCCAGTTTGAATGCTAGAACATTCATGATTATTGCATCTAGGTTTATGATATAATAATAGATCTTATGTAATAAATGAATATTTATACAAGTAAAACATTAGAGTGTTCGGACAATTAAACCATCTATAGTACCAGGCATTAGTCATATCACAATTAATACATGGCTGGTAGCAGCTTGAGTTCCACTAGAAAAGTGCAGGTTATAAAGCCACAAGAATTTCTATTTTTCCCAACAATAGACAGTAATATTGATCCTTGCAGAGTTAAACATAGATCTATAGGCTTCAACAATGAAATCATTAGTCAACCCTGAATAGAGATCCAATTAAATGTGTATTAAGTTGATGTCAAACTTGCTCAATTAATAATTAACAGTCTGTGTTTAAGATTGATTTATGCGTCATAATAAGGGGAATTGCTTTACATCCATAAATCAAACTAACTGAAAGATTCCCTCCAAATCTGACAATAGTATTCCACATTAATTTTTTGCTGAAGAAACCTTTAGTGTTGAAAATAACGATATCAAAAAACAACAACATCAAAAAAAAGCATGTTGTTATATCCCCTCTATTGTGAGGGAATAAAAAGTAGCAAAACTTGGTGAAAGAAAAGCCTGGGTATACAAAAATATTGTAATAGGATAAAAAATAAATTTTATTGTCTTGAATTCCTACATTTTAACCCCCCCCTTTTTTTTTTAATTTAGAGGCATTGACGGTTTCTTGCTGATACATGTATTATGTATTTGGTCCCTATTTCTATTGTCAGTTATGTTTTTACTTGCAAAATGATTCTTATTCTATGTGATAAATGCAACATGATGTACGCTGTATCATTTTATAAGCTTTCTATATATTTAGCAATCTTATTTTATATTGTAGGTGAATAACGGTAATTGAGTCCAAAGTACAGGTATCTATATATATCATACCAGATAAAGTGAGTGCTAAAGACAAAATGATTCTCCAGACAAAGGTATTCAGTGTGTGACAAGACCTGCTAGACAAATTAAAACCAAATAATAATAATATTTTTATGTAATATACACATATACTGTAGAATCACTTTTTTTCATGGAGTGAACTTTTCGTGGTTTGAGTAAAAACTCTTGGTTTGCGGGCATTTGAATTCATGGATGATGAAGAATTGTTAAGTAGTTATGTATGTAACATTTTATATTTCGTGGTGGACATAAATTTGTGGGTCTCTTCATACCTTGAAAACAATGAAAATTAAACCCCCATAAAATTTGTGATTTCACAGTACCACCACTTTAAAATAAAATCTAGTAGTCTTCTCTCTACCCTTGTTTTGAAAATCTTTCTGGTTGTCTTGTGAATTATAACCAGGGCTTTGGTTGATACCACTGGGTGGATTTTTTTTATCAATTTTAAACCACAACTGCATGTATCAACAAGAGCTTACTATAACAGGAACCATTGCGGATGTCCCAGATGCCCTCATTCACTCAAAGTGCTTCATTTCCTACAAGTTTCATGAAAACTGTACATGCATTGATTTTGAATGTATGAGGTAATTATACTAAAATTAGAAGCATAAACTGTGTCACCAACAAATCTTGTATAATTTTTTGATAGATAAATAAGGTTTTGTTCTGACTTCTGAAATATTTGAAACTATTAGAAATACAGTAAAACATGCTTATAACGAAGTGCCAGAGATGGGTGAAATTGCTTTGTTTACAAACATACCGGGTATATAGTTTGTTATGTCCCTGAGATTAATAATATATGTTTAAAGGTTAAAATCCAAAGGTTAAAACCCATGGGAATAAATATCATTTCACTACAAGCTTCAATGCAACATAAGCATGTTCACTGTAAGCATGTGTAACAGGAGAGGGGAAAATATGGCTGGACCAGGAATTGAACCCGGGAACCCTCCAGTCAGGTGCTCTACCAACTGAGCTATCCAGGTCGATATCCACGGCCCAAACCATTACATTCCTCCTCCTTAAATGGTCTTTGCCCTCAAAGACACAACCCAAGTTCTTATTAGCCCCTGGCAGGACTTTCACCTGTAATTCCAGGGGCAGTCAACAGCACCAAATCTGTAACAGGAGAGGGGAAACTGTAATGTGTTCTACCAGGAAACATATTCTATCACCCGAATAAATTTTAAAATATACAGTGTATTTCCATGTCAGATGTACTCTAGAAAATGAGCATTATACGTAAAAAAAACCATTACACGTTTTACAGTTAAACAGTATATTTTCAAACATGGCACCAGGTCACACAGACTTTCAAAATCCTGTAATTAACAAGATATATTGAAAGATTTTCGAGTTTCCTATTCTGTTAGTATATATGTCCTCTGTAGAGCCAATAATTTGAAGAGATGTACAACCTTTATCAATATAACTTATATTATGCTTCCCAGGTCATGTACAACCAAGAGAATTAAAACAAATCATTCACACGTTATAGCTGTAAGCACAATATGTGATTGTAAAGTCCACTTATAGTGTATTATACATGTGCCACCCAAATGATCAATTTCTTTTAAATATTACTATTCAATCCTTACATAGAAATGACAACTGCACATCGTCCCTATAACAACTAATCCTCGTTTTATAAATGTCAAAAAGAATAAAATGATAATATCTCAGCACAGCTGATTGAACATCCTTTGTAGCATAAACACTAGGGATGGGTATCGCCAAGAATTTCGTATCGCGATATATCACGATTTTTTTCCCACAATATCATGTTTTAAAATCATGATATTTTTAAAAGCAGTTTTTACATTGATTTTATATGAAAAGTCATTATTTTTCTAAAAAGTATATATGTCCTCTGTAGAAACAAAATTTTATTTTCTTGAAATATTTATGTATATAAAATCAACTATGATTGGTCATGTACAGACCAAGAGAATTAAAACAAATCACGCTTCACACATTTTTATACTTTCTGTAATTGTAATTTGAGAAGATTAAACAAATAAATGAATAATTTCTTTTAAATATTACTTCAAATACATAGGTATGCACAGGTCACTATAACACGATACGTATAAATGCAACAAAAAATCGCGATATACCGGTATACCGATAAAGTCGCACATCCCTAATAAACACAAAGCATGCCCAGATAGGAAATTAGAAAGTCATAAATGTTAAATTGGCTGTGTTAAATTACACCAGTTCAGAGTGAAATTTTACCTTTTCGGTTTCTAATAAGCTTCGTAAAACCAAGAAAAACCTGTTTCCATCAACCTTTCTTCATCTCATCATTATGATGTTGACACATATCTAATATTCAATGTAAAGTGAAATTTCATTGGTCCCATCTCTCTCACTCGGAAATCATTTCGCGAAAAACTTTACCTTGAACAACGAAAAAAGCAGATCATTTCCGAAAGAGTGTTGGTGAAATTCATCAAATTATTACCCTGCATAGCAAAACTAAAAGCCGGGGCAGATCAAGAAGAGAGGTTTGTATATCGTCTTTAAATTTATGTCGAGCTGAATTTTTAAAATGTATTTAATACATAATTATTTATAGTGTGTAAAATTACCATAAAATACTTTATATTTGATTTTATCGGTTATTATTGATTTTATATATGGTATATATGGGTAGGCAGTTTCCCTCGATTTTTCACAATTTACGTTTTCTGTAATTGAATATATGCTGCATAAAGTACATAAAGTTATGAATAATTCTGGTGTTTAAGAATATATATTAACTATAGATTAATATTTCTACATTGTTTATTGTAATATTTAGTACGTAAAATTACATGTTTAGAAAACATAAGAAAAACCAGTGTACATTAAAACCGATCTGAAATACCCGGGACAAAGTATCTTGAAAATGTCATAGATAGTTTACAGGTTACTAATGTTTGTCACCTGAAAAAATTTGTTGGAAGCTTGTATTTAATTTTTTAAATAGATAATAGATTAAATATTATATCAATGTTTAAAAGTTTTTAATTAGTGCTCTGTGAGTAAACATCAAATTTCAGAATAGTGCTCGATGCATTTAGTAATATCAGATCCAAATCAATTATATTTTTAATCTTAAAATATAAGCTAATATTCATTTCAAAAACCCATTTTCAAACTGATTTTTTAAATTAATAAATAAAAAAGGCTCTTATGAGGATACCTCCATGTGGTTAGAGCTGGGCAATGTCACAACAGTGATAGTTAACATCCTCCAATACAAACAATTGTTTTTAATTAAAAAAATTCACAATTTTCGGGTTTGAACTAAGACGATAATATTTAGAAATTGCCCCGGCTTTTCTGAAAATGCGCAAATTCTGCATACTTATAGCTTTTATAATGTAAAACTAATTATATTTCGTTAAAATCGAGTGTAAAATATTTGAAAAGTCCACAGTTGTAATGGTTAAACGAGTCTTAATTCAAAAATACCGTAAAATGTCGTATTAATTTTGCCTACCCATTTTACCAACCTGGAAATGAACAATCGCCCAGAAAATCAGAAATATTGTGTATATTATGGAGATATTAACAGCGAATACATAAGAACCTTAAAGGAACATAATCTGAAAATTTCTGATTAATTGGTGGAGTATTAGCGGAGATATTTTAAAAATCTCGATCTGCCCCGGCTTTTAATTTGCCCCGGCCCGGGTTTGCCTACCCATTTTACCAACACTCTTTCCGAAAGCACAGATTACCCACAATTCATCAAATTATTATTTCCTGCATAGCAACAACTACAACTATGGCAGATCAAGAAGAGAGGTAGTGTATATCGTTTAAATTTATGTTTATGCGATTTTAAAATTACTTTTTAAGCATTAGTTTGTAGTGTGTATTCATAATCATCTCGGAAATTGAGTCTTCGTAAATGCCAGTTTGTTTATTCATGTTATATAGTTATGTTTATATATCGGATATATAGAGATCTGTACCCCTTTTAGAACTCGATTTTTGACAATTCTGCCAGTCTTTTTCTGTAATTGAATATAGTAAAGTTGTTATGGATCAGGTGTAGAAACGACTATTTATTTTGATTACTTGGATATTGTAAGCATTTTGGAAAATACTTGTATATTGTATATTAATTCTCTTTAGAGAAGTTGACAGGCTTCGCCTTAATTCACTTCTTTCTGCATGCCTTCATCAATCATGTTGTTATTCTAGAAAACATATAAATAAAGAGCCAGTGATGGCCTACACTTCAACTAACATTTCGTCTGAAATACAGTTGAATCTCCAAAACCAGTATCTTGAATGTCATAGATATGTTGAAGTGCATGATTTGGAAGTATAAATTTCAGTAAATCTTAATCCTTATTAGAATTTCTAATTCATTGAAATATATAAAAAATCTCAAAAATGTTTCAGAAACAGGACTTTACAGTCCCATATAAGTCTGAAAAAAACGATTTTTGACTGAATTTCTGATTTTAAGCAACAGACTTGTTAAATACATTTTACAAAAATATTTCAATTTTGAAAAAAAAACATTTTTTAGATTTTTTGTGTTAAATTAATCCAGTTGTATTAATCAGTGATATCAAATATTATAAATTTTAAAAAAAGATCATTTCATTATCATTTAGCACACTCAGAGCTCTTTGTGTAGCTCATACGTTGCACACTGAATGGAGCATAGCCAAGTCAGCGGAGGGTTGCTGATTTTGAATCCGGGAATGAGAACTTCTTAATATTGATAAAAGATATGTAAAGGTTGGTTTTCTTGTGACAGTTGAGTTTATTTATGTTAAAATTGTTAATAAAGCAAGTCTATGTATAATCAGACATATTTCAGACAAAATGTTAGTTGAATTGTATGCCGTCACAGGTTCTACATTTTACACATTTTCCAGAATCAATTGTCCACTTCTCTAAAGAGAATATTTATTGTATACTGTTATTCCTTATAACCATTGTTCATAGTTTACCTGGGCCTGAAACTGAGAACACAGAAAATTTCAAGGTTTTTTGGGTTGTTTCAAATTTGTTAAATGAACATATTTTATTGAATGAGTCATTTTGGGTGGCATTTGACTATTTGGTCCTATGGACTTCATGTATATATTTTAAGATAAATTGATTCTATCTCTGTAATATTTTTTTTATTTTTAGACCTCCTTCAGGTGAAGGCAAGGAAACTTTGGGAGATGTTGTCACTGATGCAACTGTGAAAGCTTTACAAGAGGTAAATCTATAAGGCAAATAATTGACTAAAAATATAGAAATAAATAAATCAAAATTATAAAACTATACATTGATGCTGACATAATTTGTTTTCAATGCTTAATTAATATCATTTAGGATATGGAAAGTTGAATTTTTGTCAAGACATAATGTCAGGAAGCCACATTTTAACAACACAAAATTTACATTTAAATTTTATTTTTTATAGTTTGATTCTGGAGAAATGGAAGCTGGTAAGGAAGCTGCCCCCTCATCATCAAGACCTCCCTCAGGAAAACCAGCCTCTAGGCCCACCTCAGCTAGGCCAGGTAAGACTGTCCCATCTGTAGCTAGACATTCTGTAGGCCCACCTCTGCTAGGCTAATTCAGCTGTAGCTAAACATTTTCAAGCCTCACCTCAGCTAAGCCAGGTAAAACAGCTCCATCATAAGCTAGACATTCTCTAGGCCCATCTCAGTTACACCAATTCAGTTGCAGCTAGGCATTCTCTAGCCCACCTCAGTTAATGTAGATTCATTTCAGCTATGCCAGGTAAAACAGCTCCACCTGACATTTTCTATACTTAACAGCTTCAACTGTAGTCACATGTCCTCTCATCTCATCCTCTAGGCCCATTTCAGCTGGGCTCCAGTTGTAGCTATGCCCACCTAAGCTAAGACAGGTAAAACAGATCCAACAGTAGGGGAACTTTAGGGCTACTTATGATATATCCTTCAACATTGATCATTACCAATGAAAACATTACAAAGTGCACCTGTAGCCATTCAGAGACATAGTTTTAAAACCATTTTATATTTATGCCCACCTCAGCTAAGCCAGGAATTTATATTCACACACTGTATAATGTATGTATACATAAAAAAAACCTATGTTTTGTCAACTGTAGCAGGACATTTCATGATCATTAAGAAACAACTGTACAAAACATTATTACAAGCTAAACCAAGTAAAACAGATCTAACAGTAGGGAGGCTTTATTATAGCTACATTAAATATATCCAATAAAATTCAATATTACCAAGGAAAACATTACCAAGTGCCTATCATTAATTTCCCCTGGTGTAATTTCATTTTTAGATTTTTTAGATTTTTAGCCATTTTATTTGATTTAATGGAGGAAAATATAGAGGACAAAGATTTCCAAGAATTTTATTTAAACTCTCTTTCAAATGGAAAACCCAATTATTTTTAATGGAAATTAAAACACTCACTTCAGTGCCCCCCCCCCTTTTTTCTGAATCAACAGTATAATTTAATTTTATTATTACAACATGTATTTATTAGCAAATTCTTTTTCTTTAGGCTCTAAAGCTGGATCTAGACCTACATCAGCCAAACCTAGTTCTCGTCCAACTTCTGCAAGATCCCCTAAACCAGAGACGGCTGAAAAGCCACCCTCCCAGGCAGGAAGTAGACCCCCCTCTGCTGGCTCAAAGAGGGGGTCAAGGCCACCTAGTGCTACTGAAAAGAAGGGATCTAGACCCACAAGTGCTGCCGGGAAAAAGGATTCCAGACCCCCAAGTGCTAGCAAAGGTATAGAATAACACAGATAAAATTATATAAAACACATTCTCTAGTTTTTCTCTTGCTCAAAAGTACCAAAGCACTGCTAAGTGTCTCCTTCGGATCCATTCCTGGTTCATTCCAAATTCTGAACTAAAACTTCAGTTCTTTTATCAGAGACTGAATAGACATTTATTTTCTTTAATCATAACATTTATCTTGATATTGATCATTACAATTATAAAATCTCTGCAGTGTTCAGATTCTTAATAATTTTTTAAAACATGAGCCATTCATTGGTAATAATTTTTACAACTCGGTGTTAAAAAAATTTTATGGTGAATTATACATACCCTGGTAGTCTTAATAGAGGAAAAAAAAGGGGGGGGGGTGCAGCATTAAAATTAAAGAAAAATATAATGAAATAAGTAATATGGACTTTAATTACCCCAGTAATTCATTTTGTACAAAACTGATTTTTTTTTATAAAAGGAGTTAAGAGTCAGGGAATATGTTGGATAAATGTTAGGAAATAGATGATGTCAATAAAAGCAGAATATTTATACATTTACAAATAGCTGTAATTATTAACAGCTAGGAGAGAAATTTTCATTTTTAAGTACTTGAAGGACGTGCAGTTGAACAGTCAGGCCCCAGTATTATGTTCCCCAAACGAAGTTGGGGAACATATTGTTTTTACTCTGTTTCTTATTAAGGTCTTCCGTTTCCAACATTATTCTGTTGTTTCTTTTCCACTATTATTATTATACCGATTTTGTGCAGGCGACGTGAACGCCTCGACAGTTTTTCATGAGTTTTTCAGCAATGATAGGAAACTATTTGAACTTCATGCTTTTTTTTTATTTTGCCGTCATCACTTCCGGTCGCGAGATATGGCCATTTTTCTGTTTTTAAAGTGTCATTTTGTCCGAGAGTGTTCTCGAAAACGGTTGGAGATTGGGTCCTGAAACTTTCAGGGATGATAGATTATGACTCGTAGATTTGAGAAGGCTATATGGTTTTTGTAGCCGTCGCGTCCGTCGTCCACCGGAAGTAGTTTAAAAATATGCAAAATTTTATTTTTTTCTTTTTAAAATGTTTCTTATGGAGGCAAATAGAGTGTCTCGAGTAATATTATGTCCACCGGAAGTTATTTTTTCCAAACCGGAAGTAGTCCAAAAAATGATCATTTTTCCTCGAAATTATCAGGGATGATTCCTTTACACTCAGAAAGGAGTTATAGGTCATTTTAAGTACATCCGGTCACACCGGAAGTGAATTATAAAGACCGGAAGTTGTTTGAATTTGATAGATTTTACTCTTAAATGTGTTCTCACGTATTTTGAATAATTGATCTGAACACTTTTTTCATTTAAAGTTGATTTATACCCTTATCAAAAATCGAACGGACCTACTCGTTGCTCGCAACGAGATCTCATCTAGTTATTATTATTTTTCTTCTTGGGAAAATTTTGTCCGCGAATGATCTTGTAAAGTACACATCCGATTAAGGGGAAACCTTTTTAGGATAAATAGGCATGTTATGTAGATTTGCGGAACGAGGGTCATTTTGCGCGCACGTGCTTGCAAGAGCGCGCACGTGCAACACGTGAAATGACCAATATACTTGAAATTGCCGTAACTTTTACATTTTTTGATGTAATGCTTTGATATTTAGAATATATAGACATATTATAAATGTAGATGAGATGACATTGTCAACATGCCATTTTGCGCGCACGTGCTTGCAAGAGCGAGCACGTGCAACACGTGAAATGACTAATATAATGGATATAGCCGTAACTTTTCTATTTTTTGATGAAATCTTTTGAAATTTATAATTTAAGGATATATTAGTAGTGTAGACAAGATGACATGATCAAAAAAGCAAGATCTCAGGCGCATGCACGTGCGCTTCCCTCTGATTGGCTGAAACTAAAGTCTCAATATCTTTCTTATTTTTTGACGAAATCCTTTGAAATTTTGAACATAGCCATGCATTAGGATGTCCTACAACATGATATATAGAAATTATCATGAAAACACGTGCATGCACGTGCGCTGCAATCTGAGAAACTTTAAATAGCTATAACTCCCTTGGTTTTCAACCAAACAGGATGGGATTTGGAACATAGATATATAAAATGAACTTCTACAAGAAGGTATGGTCACCATGCACATGCATACACGTGCGCGTAAGCTGCAATCTGATTGGCTGAAACTATAAACAGTTATAACTCCCTTGGTTTTCAACCAAACAAGATGGGATTTGGAACATAGATATATATATAATGGACTTCTACAAGAAGGTATGGTCACCATGCTCATGTATGCATGTGCGTGCACGCGAAATGGGTAAAATCAGAAATACACTTGAATGGGCGAATTTTTTTAATACTCTTGGATTAAATATTTTAATATTTAGTATATTAAAATATATAGATTGTGTAGACAAGATGATATGGTCATTACGTACATGCATTCACATGCGCACACATGCAATGCTAAAATTTGAATGAGCATGGTACATTTCTGGGTAAACGTTGTTAAAGTCTCAAATCCATAGAGTTTGTGTTATTTAATGAAGCTTACAGGGAATATGGCACCGAAAGGGAGTTGGGGAGCGTTTGGGGAACATCTGTAATGGTCCCCGTTACAATTAGCACTAGTTTATATTTCTTTAGCCATATAAGCAAAGCCGTGACAATAGTGCACTGATATATATGGTTCACCATATATATTTAGCCGAGGAATCTATATAAGCAGCTGGCTTACTCAGTTTGATATGGACAACTGTGAAACCCCAGCTTGATATTGTGTGATATGAGTATTTGTTGGGGATTTTGTAATCAGTGTCTCTGATCTACTGTTAAGATAGGCATCAAATAATCAATGGATTTATGGGGGTGATTTGTAAGTAGATTAGGGTGATAATGTACTCTCCTTTGTATTGATCTCAGTGTTTGTTAAAACAGAGTTTATATCACAAGCAGATGTTTGTACTAGACAACCTAAAGATGTCCCCAGGGAGGCTTGTTTGTAACCTGCAAAATGAAAAAGAAAAAGAAAGAGGACAAAAATTCAATCTATTAACAAAAACAATAAAATTATACAAATTTCAATTCAAAACCCCCTTTTATGGTGTTTTCTCACTTATTTGACTTAATTGCAATAAATTGTCATCGTTGTGTATACATCATTTATACTTTAAATTTTTTAATTTTTTGATTTTGAAAAAGAAGAAAGAAAGGGGGATGAAAATTGAACTGTAAACAAAAGAAATAAAAGTTTTAAAATTTGATTTCAAACCCCCATTTTATGGTGTTTTCCTCCTCATTGCTTTAATTGCAATCAGTTGTTATCATTATATATACATCTTTATTTAGTTGTCTAGCTGGAGTGATCTCTTTTCCCTTAAATATTAATAGTGATTTATTGATCAACACAGATCTATTATCACTTTTAACCAAAAAATATTTGAATAAATCAAAGAAGTCACACTCATAGATTATTGTAATTACACTTGATGGTGTAGTACAAACAATAATGTTTATCTTGTCCGATGAAAGATTATGCAATGATCAAAAACAACATTGGGTCCAGTGCTTGTTTTACATGTCAGAACAACTGTTTAGCCCTGGGGGTTGAATGTCCTGTCAGTGTGCTAAAACTGTCCACCTTCTGTTGATATATCAGACAATAGGACACATCAAACAAATAAAAAACCCATGATTAGTCGGACTTAAGAATTTAATTGGAATTTAAACTATTTTCTAAGAACATAAATGCCAGCAGTTAAACTTCTACACAGTTTTGCCCCTTATAATTCAAAAATTTTATAATTCAAAACTTACAAACTTCCATTTTAATTAAAAATGTTGAAATGAAAGATTGAGTAAATTTCAGTTTCATCAAGTTAATTTTCCATTTTAATGTCCAATGAACACTTGCAGCAAGAGATGTGGAAATAAATGATAGTCTTATTTTGAATTAATTAGTTAATATTTTCATTTTTAATTTCTATGACAGGTGGCCGAAAGACAACTCACCGAATGACAGCAAGAGAACACTATAAAACTGATACGACAAGTGGGTATGACACATCATCCGCTGAATATATAAAACATCGAAATTTAACAAATATTTAGAGGAAATCGTGTATGTGAAAAAACGTTTTCATTCATTTTCTAATTTTTTTCCCATTAAATCAATAACTTTACCCAATATTGCTGACCTATGACCTTGCTCAGATTCACGAGAAGCAATCTATATGCGCTGGACCAACAATGATGGATATACAAAATAGACAAAGAAATACATGTTTTTTAATGCATCTTTGATTATGTTTATTATATCTGAATACTTAACACGACATCTATTCATCTATCAATTATTATAAAAACATTGTCCGTGTCCACTGACACTATTGTCGGTGAAGGTGCACAGGAATTTCATCGGTGAATGAGTTGCTCTGTGATTGTGAATATCAAAAATAAAATTAATAATTCTACATTTGTTTGATTTTTAAAATGTACATAGTTCACAAAAAGAATTATTTCCAGGAAATGAAGGTGCACAGGAAATGGAATTTGGTAAATGATAAAAAAAAAATTAATGCTGTCATTTTTAAAATTGAAAAAAATTGTCAGAAATACCAAAATTCCTAAAAAATTATAACATTGAAATGTTTTATTAGGAGAGTTGCCACCTGTAGACAATGGTGATTTTGGGGGAGATGGTGGTGATGAGCCGCCCCAGGAGCCAGAGGAGCCTAGTCAGCCACCACCGCAGGACCTGGTGCCACACCCTGGTCCTGACGGTGGGGATGGCGGGGGAGACAGCGGGGACGATGACGAGGAGATGGAGGATGAGGAGGGAGTGGAATCTGACGCAGGAAGTGAAGCAGAAACAGACATGGTTGTCCTTGACCCAGATCATGTAAGTTCAAGACAAGATATACTTGTCCTTGACCTAGATCATGTAAGTTCAAGACCAGATATAGTTGTCCTTGACACAGATCATGTAAGTTCAAGACCAAATATAGCTGTCCTTGACCCAGATCATGCAAGTTTAGGATAATTAATTGGGAGAGAAATAATAATTAAAGAACAAAATATATATTTTGATTGAACATATTTTCTTTCTGTTTATAACAAAACCTCTTTTTGTTTTCTTTAGCCCTTGATGAAAAGATTCCAAAATGCCTTGAAATCTCATTTGACGTCACAAAATGAGAAAGTGACCCTGGAACTGAGAGAGTTAACAGAGGCTCTCAGGAATCGCAGGAAAGAGCGAGAAGATCTTGGTGTAGATTTGTACGGAGTTCAGCAGGAGCTAGCCAGGTTCCAGATGCTGCTGGAGAAAAATCATGATGAATTTGCAAACCTGAACCAGAATCGCCAACAGGAGGAGGCTCAGCTGGAAGATGTGAGAAATACCTACAAAGAAAACCAGATCATTGTCAACAAGGAGAAGAAAAAATGTAGGTCAACAGTGGAAGTCTAGCAAAATTATTTTACAACATAATCAGAGGAATAAGAGACCTTATTTTTTAAAATTCTGATATTGTCTTATTGTAGGTGCTGAACTCCAGGGAGAAGTTGAGAATTTGGCCTTGCGTCTCTTCTATATGCAGAATGCTAAGGAAGATGTTAGATCAGACATTGCCATAATGCGGAGAGCTGCCGAAAAGGCAGACACAGAGGTTTCCAGGGCAGAAATAGAGAAACAAAAACAGGACCTGTTTGTGGACCGACTGGTAGAAAGAGTGGACAAGCTTAAAGAGGAAATAGCCATGTTTGAAGCTCAGATTGCAGCTCAGACAGAGGAAACAAAAGCTGCCAAAGAGGCCCTGATGGAAGCACATATGGAAATTGAGGTGAGTACTAAAATAATAAATATGCTTATGATAGTTTCCTGTGAATTAAGTATAGGGAATTTTGAATTCATGATTCCTTTACTTTTCAGGCTATCCATTTAGAAAAGAAACAATTGTTCCAGCAGTGGAATAGTTCTCTGATTGGTATGAGGAGGAGAGATGAGGCACATTCTGCCATGCAGGAGGCCCTCAAGTATGCACATTCAAAAGACTTTTATGTCAAGTTCTAATGCATTTTTGGAGTTTTGTGAGTACTAGGACTAAGCTCTTCTTTCTCCTTTTTAGCACACAAGAACAAAAGGTGCTGTCATTAGAAACAGAAATTGAAGGCTTCAAGAAATCCATTTTCAAAGAACAAGAACAGAATGAGAAACTTACCCTTATTTTGAACAAAACAGAGAGAGACATAGAAACTGTCAAGAAACAGCTGAACCAGTGTCAAGCCAAGCATGACGCTCTGAAGGCTGAGTATGCTACCTACACCAGGATGTTACACGAGACTGAGCAGGCACTGAACCGTGCCGTCACGGTGAGTACACATAATCAAACTCTTGAAAGACTTTCTGTTAAATCTGTTAGCTTAATTTTGGCAATTAAAATTAATTATAGAAACAACAAACAACCCTGTTTGTAGAATGAGAAATAAATAAAGTGGTTAATATACTGAGTATTGTATGAAAAAAAAAATATTCATTGGAAACTTTTCCAGTGTATCACTATTGGATATGTTGCAAAATCTAAATAACTTTACTGATCATATATCCCATTTTTTAACAGGATAAAACTCTAAGACTGAATGAGTTGAATGCTTTGAGAAAACAAATAGAAAGAGAATACCTGGAGAAAGTGGAACTGGAAGATCAGATAATGGAGAAAATGAGAAGTCAGCTGACTATGGACAAGGCTGCACAGTATACAAAGAAACTGACCGGCAAGCAGCGAGAACTGACCAAGAGTCTGGTAAGCACTGACCGCTGATGTCCATGAAATAGAAAAATGACTTTCCATGATACCAGGTAGATGCCTTTATGCTTCATGATTTATTTTTTTATTACTTCAGGAAACACAAATGGCAGAGGTGGAAAACACAATATCAAGAGATAGTTTAGAAATTTCCAATGTACAAACTCGTATAGAGAGACTGGGAAAGATCCTGGATCAGTTGGACGAGGAGATTGCACAGAAGAATGAAATCATCAGTCGCAGTGAACAGGAAATCGTGAAGAGAAACGCCATTATTGAGAGGAAACAGAATATCATTGACCAGTATAATAAGAAACTGGAAGTCCTCATTACTAAAGCTGGGGTAAGATTGTTATATTACCAGTCATGTGTTTTGTAGCTCGCACGTTTGATAATTTGAAATGGACAGTCAAAATTAAAACCAGTAAGCAATAGACCCATTACTACCATAATATTTTGGGCATGTTGTATGGTTTGAACTGCATATGATTTTCAAACCTTATTTTGCAGGGTGTTGAGCTGGGTCCTTTGGAGATCACAATCAATTCCCTCCAGAAGTCTATTGAAGCTCGACAGCAGGAGATTGCCGAGCTCCAACAGATGTGGCTCAGACAGCAGAGCGAGCTTGTCCAGCTCACCAAGGACAAAGACATGCAGTCAGTGGATGTCCGCAAGCTCAAGAAACAGCTCACCATTCTGTCTCAGAAGAAGATCAGAACAGAAGGTGAGATATACTTAAAATATCTTGTGTCTGGAGCAGGCTCTGGAGCCATAAAATTGAAATGAGCTCCCTTTTTATCTCAGTCTCAAGTTTGCACTATTCCAATTTTGAAAGTCGAGTGAGACAGAGATTAAAAGTGAGCTATTCCAATTTTATGGCCCAGAGAGTTGAAAAAAACAGAAATCTTTATTTATTAAGAAATACATGGGTGCGAAGTGAGGGTGAGGCTCAGCACAACCGTTAACTTAGTTCAGACTACTTTTACATGCAAAAATTGCTTCCTACAGGGGACATAGATGAGCAGAGAAGAGAGACGTATGAAATTGAGAGAAGCATCAGCACAATGCAGAATGATATGATCAAACTGAACACTCTCCTGAACAAAGAAAAGGGAACTCATGATAACCTCCACCAAGACAACATACTCCTGGAGAATGATTTCATCATGGCTCTCAAGGTCAGTCTTAATTTATGTGCAGTTTTGCTTTGTGTCTACTTTCAATTCCACAGGCATTGGGCTGAGGTTTTTTTCACTATGTATTTATAACATTTACTTATTACAGGAAGCAGAAAGGGAGTCTATCGAACTCCAGGAAAATCTGGATGGAATAAAAGAAGAAAAAGAGAGACTGCTGAACAGCCTGGTAGAAGCTGAGTAAGTGTCCATCTTTTCATTCTGTCTTCTTTCTCATTAGGTAAAATAATAGCCCCAAATGACTGATTACTGTTGATTCATATATCAATACTTTAACTTTGTGTTTTAGGCGACAGATCATGTTATGGGAGAAGAAAACTCAGCTGGCTCGGGAAACTCGAGCTGCAGTGGACTCGGAAGTTGGACAGGGTGAGATCAAGGCCATGAATGCCGAGATTCACAGAATGCAGGTCAGATACACTCAGCTGATGAAACAACAGGAGAAAATGATCCAGGAGATGGAAAAGGCTGTATCCAGGTAGGTCATAAGGTCATAGGCTATAGGTCATAAAAATATTGAATGTTAATGGGTGAATAATGCACAAACCTGAATATTAAATGATGTATAAGTGAATATTATTAAAACTTTCTCTCTTCAGTTGTATATAATACCTGTAACTTTACTGCATTACAGTTACTTTGATCATCAAGGTTAAAAAAAAATTCTTTGAAAATGTGTTTTTCAGGAGAGATACCATTGTCACCAGAGGGGATGCCCAACAGAAGATAAATAAGAAGGTGCTTACAAAGGGGACATTTGAACGTCAAATGGGAGAGCTTAGAAAGAAGGTCAAGGTCACAATCCAGGAAGCCAATGGGTGCGATGATGAGATTCAGGAGCTGCGTGCCCACCAGGTGGAGCTAAGTCAACAGTTGGAGGATAGACAGGTGCACGTCCAGCATTTACAGAGTCAGTCCGATACGCTGGACGGAGACATCGAGAGGCTGTTTGAAAACAAGCAGAAGGTAATTAACCAATCAATTAAAACTCTCAGATTCATATCATTATGCATTTCTTATTAGGTTGTCACTGACTGTCTATAGGAATATATGGTAATATCGGTTTGATCCATTCAAATGTATATATTGCAACCTTTGCCACAGATCAGTGGTATCTTTAATATAATTTAAGGTTTTTATATAAAAAAAAATTTAATGACCTTTCTATGAAAGAAAAGGGAAAAGAAAAATGATAAAACTATTTTTTTTAATTTTCAGAATATGTCTGAGTTGCTAAGTAAACAACAGAAATCCAAGTATTTCCAACAAGCCAAGGATGGGAAATATGTAATGCTCTGCAAATCTGAGTCATCTCTAGAGAACGAAAGTACTAAACAAGTGGACAGAATGCAGGCATTGAGCGCCATCGTGGATCGCTTGAACCAGGAATTTCCTCATGTGCAGATGGCCCTACGACGGGTCACCCTTTCTCTGTCAACAAGGACAGAACAGGCTCAGGACTAGAAAAAATAATCTCTGTAACAAAATAATTATGAAGATAAAGTCTGAATATTTATGGAAAAAGTATGAGTTCCATCCCAAGTTTTTTTCTCCTTTTAAACACTATTTTTTATTTTAATATGATCATTCCAAGTATAACAATGACTGTGATAATTTCTTTAGACTGAAGTTTATGTATAAATTTGTGAAAATGCTGTCATTTACACTGTGTTATAATAAATGGTTTGTTATAAAACAACTACTGTATGAATGTTGTATTTGAAGTAAACAAGTTTTACTACCTACTTACCCAGTAGTTAAATCAGCAAATTTAGGAATATATTTTGAAGATATAATATATCAGTATTTAAAAATGTTCATACTTAGGCCATCTTTAACAAAATGTTTGGTTGCCCTCTCCTGGTCGACTGGCTAAAAATGGCCCAATCAAAACTTTTTTTTACATTCCAGGACACAATATTTTTGTTCTTTTTATTCACCTTATCCAATCAACAAATATGTTGAATTTTCTGGAGAAAAAAGATTTTCCTACCTACCTACTGACTCAAAAATTTTACCCTGATTTGTGAGAGGGCAAGCAAACATTAATTTTAAGATGGCTTTATTTTTATTTATTATATATATTTAAGGGAGATAAGAATGATTCAGTTTGTTCAGAATTGTAGAAAAATTTTTGTTCACTTGGAATTTTACTAGAACATATTTTGTACATTTTAAAAAAAAAATAATTATGAAACAGGGCAACTGGCATTTTAAGTACTTTCTGCTTATTAAAAAGATTGTTACAAATATGATAAAGAAAAGTTAAAAAAAATCTTAAGAAGGTAAAATCTAAAATGCATGATTGCAAAGGTTGAAAGTATTCGTTAAATTTTAGGGCTGAGAAAAACAGAAAAGGGGGGGTGTAATCAGTCGTGGATCCAAAATTTTAAATAATTATTTACATCAATGTATGACAGTAACACTATATTTTGATTTTCTTCTCCAAAAATTCCGGAAATGAAATGCAGCCGAGGATTCACAGCAGTCACTTTTGGTTTTTAATCTGTTTTCTTAAAATGGGGGGGGGGGGTATTAAAGCTTGAATATATATTGTAAAGAAAATTGAAAGAGAGTACGTATAAGTTCTACATTTACGTATGCTTACTCAAAAAATTAACTTATTTAGGTCTCGAAATTTGAACGACTTATTTGAAGGAAGTGGAATTAACAGAAAAAGTGTAGTTTAAACTTTGACAAATAACGCACGTGGCAGTATATACACAGTTACCTAGTTTATGACATATGGCACACGTCCCAATATATTCGAATATACATGTATATCATCCCCATTCCTCACAGGCTTACAATTAAATTAATATTTATTTCGGAAGAAAACAATTTTAAAAAGTATAAAAATCATTCAAAAGGTACAGGTTTATCACGAGGATTGCAATTAGTAAAAATATAATATTACTGCATATAAAAAATAAATAAATTAATTAAACAAATTGGTCAGTTGTCAGTGCTATGAGGAAAATGCCGGTATTTCTATGTGCAATATTATTTTGGTGTCCAGCTGATCACTTATCACATTAATTTAATTATAACTAATATGCTAATCAAATTAATAGGATTTTCTTTTATCACACGCACAGCGTGGCTTCTGATAAATATTACAATTAGCGAAACAATAGAATTTGTTAACTTTGTTATAACTGTAAGTTATTTGAAATATTGATTAAAGGGAATCCTACACTATTATTTATTTTTCGATTGATAACGCGATAGAAGTAAAAAGAACTCCTTTCTTTTTATTTTTAATGTAGCAAAACCATAAATTGATAAAATCGAGTCCTTTGTTCTTCTTTTTAAATTTTTCATCATATATAGCATCAGTTAAAAATACCCCCGATTGCAGAAATAATGCCAAAAAAAAAACCCATATTTTTTGTAACCTAGTTTCATTCATGAATAATTATTTTTTAAAATAATATTTTAGTTATTTTTTTTTATTTACACCAATTTTAAATGTGATATTGATTTTAATCTTTGAAAATATATATGTACGCTATCGTAATGTTGCGTGTTGACTGTGATCATGTTTAACAAGATCATATGCCGTTAAATTACAAAATCGATAACGGATCTATAATGACAGATGTTGTCTTCAATCCGTTACTTCCCTGGGGCTATTACTTTTTTATTTGAAAATACACGGAACCCTGGGAAGGTGTCAGCGAAGCCACTTTCCTCGTTTGTAAACGAGCCAAGAATTGACCAATCAGAAACGAGATGAGTCTCAGTAGGGTTTGTAATGAACGTTTGAGAGAAAACGTTGCAATTTTAATTTAAAAGTTTGTGTTCAAGTGCAATAGTAAGGAGAAAGCAAAGATTAGGAGATGAAAGGTAAATATCCTTGTTATTCCGTAAACTATTTTGTATTTCTAGGGAATGTATTTTAAAAGCGGTAACAGTATACAATTTACAACGACTGTCAATAGGAAGGCGGTATATTCAAACTGACCTACTCTTCGTTTATCTATTTCAAACCCGCCTAATAATAATTATGAATTTTGGATATCTATCAGACAATAAATCAATTAAATAATATTTTATGTTTTCATTTTTAATTTCATATGGATACTTATTTTAAATTATAACGAAAGTTATTCAAAAACCAAATCGTGTATTTTCAAATATTGTGAATCCTCATAGCCTTCGTTGTTTACTCTATACCCACTATTTAGATTATGAATGATAGCAAGGCGTTAGAGCTATTTAAATTTTATGAAGGTTTTTCAATAACTGGTGAACACGGCGTTCAAAAACAAGCAATATTTTCTTCGTTTATAAATCGTTTTAAAATTAGGTCAACTGGTGCACGGAATGTTGCACACAAAACAAGGAGGATTTGAGATCGGTATGAATATTCAAAGGTGGATTTTAATAAATATTTGTCGAAGGCTTCACAAAATCCTTCAATATACTGCAGACTAAATGAAGAAACAGCGAATTATTTTATAAATGGCGATGATCGATTTTTTGGTAAATAAGCGGGTTTTTGTCTTGTTATCCATGTCACAGTTTGTCTATACTTGTGAATATGTAAATCCATGCAAATATTTACGAATATAATTATATACATATATATGTTTAGACTTGTATATTTGAAATCAATGTGGTTTGTAAATGTCAACAAACATGTTCGGTTTCATGTTTTTAATTGGACAACGGTCTCTGCATGTGCTTGCTTGTTTACATTGCCAACCAATCAAATGCGGGAATACCCTCGCCGTTACTAATTATAGATCTCCACCTGCATTGTATCGACGCTTCTTTGCATTTAATATATCGATGGTCAAGTCATTTGGTACATATATTTCTGTGATAAAACTTTAATTATTCCAAGGACTTCAAATATGGTTCTTGTTTCATTTTGTAAGTATAAGTTGGATACATTTATTTTAGTTAACATTGAAAAGTATGTCAAACATGCCGTAATTTTACAACATGTTACATGCCTGACAGCTGTCAAAGTAATCATTTGTCTGGATAAAAATCTATATGATGGATTCCCAGTTGCATTGTGACATGGTAACAAGACAACAGGGTTATGAGCTCATTTGTAATATTGCACCTCACTGCCTATGTTTTACATGCAGTACTAGGACTAGTGTGTAAATATTTATTGTTAGGTTGACATAGCAGTGCAGTGTCACAAACACTGTATCTGTTTAAAAATGGATTTATTTGAAATAGGTAAGTTTATGAGAGGAAAATAATTGTAAAAAAGTTTATTTTAATTTTTTTTGACATTTTAATAACCAGTAATGTGCTTTAAATTATTTTTTACCCTATCTCTGTATTAAGATCATGTACAAATTATTGGTCTTGTCTTGATAAGAATTGATCATTATAGCAGGTGCTAATTATTGGTTTTTATGATTACAACAACCCAGAATAAAATTGCCAGCTCATGTTTTTCCCAATTAATTGACAGTTAATGAATAAGGTACTTAGAGAGAGTACCGATAATCCTGACCAAGGCCTTTATTGCCATTGTGATTCATTTATTAATATATGAACAGGTCTTATTAGGATTAAAAATCAATCCCATTTATAAATGACACACCACAAAGTGCTTAAATAGGTATATTCTATAATAAGTAGGTATCATTTATTCATTAATCACCACCTGTATATTAAATTAACAGGTCAGTGTTCCTTTATATGTTTTTCATGAACGAATTATAAGCTTGTACTTTCATTTTTAACACCTTTAATTTCAGTTTTGTCGGCACTCAATCGGCTACAGAAGTCCCCAAACACATTTATTCCCGTCCACATGCATTTAGGTCCGCGAACTCGCAGCAGCCAGGTCTCACTATGGAACCTGCCAGAAGAACTCATTCTGTGCATACTCAAAAGTCTACACATCAAGGACCTGCTCAGCATGCGAGCGGTAAGTTTACATGAAGGCTATCGAAATCCAACAAAAATCTGAACAAGGAATTTAATTCTTTAAAGTTCAAATATTTCAATTTTTAAAAGAGAGTTCATATTTCTTTTTTCTGATGCAGGTAAGCTCCAGTTTTCGTGATATCATTGATGGTTGCTCCACATTATGGAATACGACCAGTTTTTCAGACACCTGGCCATCATCAAATAACATCCAGCATTTCGAGAAGTATGTATTAACTATATAAAAAATTAGGAGAGATAAATTGTATATTGAAGTTTTAATTTCTGTAAATTATAGGTTGTTTCTTCGCATAATACATGCTTTTCTTTTTTTATTTCATAGAGCTTCAGAATTTGGAAACATGGAAGCCCTTATCAAAATGGCAATAGCATACCTATATAATGAAGGATGTAAGTATACTTTATAGTACTATGAATTTATTAAAATTAAAAGCAGTATTGTAAAGGTATTGGAAGAATGATAAAATTTTGAGTTAAAAAAAAAATCATTGGTTTATTGCAGTGAAAGAATTACTTCAGAGTCAATAGATTCAGAGTTTTTCTACTCTTCCATAAAAAGTTCTGTTCAGTAAATGATTATATTTATGTCACATCATTCGCAATGAAAGGAAATAAAAGTAATCAAATATATTTCTATACTTTATAGTACTCGGTGATTTTGAGGGAAGGAAAGTAACAAGTAATGGAATTAAGGCCGCGGAGCTCTTCTGTCAGATTGAGTCCATGACCCCGTTTGAACCTTTCACCTGGTTATTTATCCGTCCACCCTGGTCAATCAACGGAGCCTGCTGCAAAGAATGTGTATTCACCTACATGAAAAATTATCTACAAGAGGTAAATAATAATCTGAATAAAAAATTTCATTTTCAAAGAAAACATTTAGTTTGAGATGCAGAATTTAACATTTATTCACCTACATGAAAAACTATCTGCAAGAGGTAAAGAATTTTAGTAATTGTTTAAGAGAGCCATTATTTTGAGATATGGGATTCAGTTCTTTGTGGAAGACTAATTTTCCGTTCATTGGTTTTAATTTTAGAATGACAAGCAGGATACCAAAAATGTGAATGTATGTGTCGCTAAAACTCTGTTATTACTGGACGATGAAGAGCAGGTCGCCGAATCTGATGTGTTCCTTAGCAACGCTAGTCAGCTAGGATCTGGGTCTGCTGCGTTCTTGTTATGGCAGAAACAGCACCAAGATTGTATGGTAAGCCGATCAGAAAGTTTTGTAATTTACAACTTTCAATGGTGTGTTTCGCAAGGCTTCCAAAAATAATGTCAACTAAAAGTGGAAAATCATAAAGACTTCATACAATTATTCTCTATTTAATATTTATGTTAATTCTTTTATGGATTCAGTTCATCTTGTTCAAAAAGTTTTAATGAATATACATGTAAATTTTCTTTTGAATTGTAGGTTACAGACAGAGCGAGAAAACTTGAGAGTATACGACAGTTACGAGAGATAGCCAAAATGAACAATTTAGATAGCAAGCTTTCGCTGTGTAAAATGTATGCCAATGGAATGTATGGAGGTATCACTAAATCTCAGGCGGCCATGTTTGTCCGAGAGCTAGTTCAGTCCACAACTCCGTCCAATACTCAAGAATGCTTCAGGACATCTCAGGAACTCACTACCTCCATGAGGTAAATAAAAAATTTAACTACGGAATATCTCAAAAAAAAATTATAAGATATTCTGCACAGGGCCTCTAAAAGCGTAAGAGTATTTTGAATAGGGGAATGTACAAATAAAAAAAATGAATGCATTTCTGTTATTTTTCCAGGTACATTTTAGTTGACTGGTTGGTAGAAATAGCTGGGATGAAAGACTTCTCTAGTCATACTTTACATATAGCTGTCAGTGTAGTAGACCGATACCTGAAAGTTCATAAAACATCTCGATCCAAACTCCAACTGCTGGGCGTATCCGCCATGGTTCTATGTTCCAGGTAAGACAAAACTTCATTATCTGGTGATAACTCGATAGTAAGTCCTAAGAATTAAAAAAAAAAAGCATTTTTTGCCAACAACCATCATTAAAAAGTTTCTTTCCCTCCCTCTGATAGGTTTCTTGGAAAAGACATCATCACGATCCGTGAGGCAGCATGGTTGACAGACAACACGTACAAGTATGAAGATGTAGTGAGAATGATGGGAGAAATATCTGCAACCTTGAGGGGCAACATCAGGGTTCCTAACAGTTTAGATTTCGTGGAGATTTTCTCCAGCGTGGCAGGCCTAGACAGGAAATGCAGCTGTCTATCGGAGTACATTTGTGAGCTGACCCTCCTTCAGGCTGAGATGGGACAATACAGCCCCGCAGAAATCGCAGCTAGCTGTGTCCTTCTTGCAAGACTCTTGATGAAGCTAGGTATGAAAAGCATAACTGCTAACAACCTTGCTTAAGTGTTTCTTTAAATATTGACCATCCATATCATTGATGTATTTTCATTCTGGAAGAAAACATTTTAATGAGGTATTCCTTTGTAATTTTCAACAGAAATGCCATGGCCAGACACGATGGTGGAATTTAGTGGATTTTCCATAGAAGACATCAGTCGCTGTGCTTTCCACATGCATGAAAAGTGGTAAGACATAAAACACACATACATTAAATAAAACACAAAACTTGTTTAAAATGTTGAAAAATTTGAAGAAAAATTATTCAGAATGTTGAAGTGTCTTTCTCTGTTGTAGCTTTCTAGAGGGTTCAGTGGTTGACCACAGAGATGTAAAACTACAAGCTGTCAAACTCCGGTACGCAGAGGAAAAGTTCTACAAAGTCAGTGAAATTCCCATCATGAGTTACGAGGAACTGTGTGCCATGCTGGGGGTGACTGAACACATACTACAGGGCTCCGATGTCTGTGTCAAGTTCAGGAATGCTGACGAACTTATTTTGTCACCATCAAGAAAAAAGAGAAAGTGTGAAAGGTATGTATGCCTGAATTTGGCAAAATATTGTTACATCAAATGAAATCAAAATATTTCTGTGCAGCTGTACTGATTTCTGTGTCAAATAATCCAATATTTGTTGTCTCTGCAGAGTTTATCCACATTTGCAAGACAGAGAGAATGCAGCCACTCCATCCATTGAGGATAATTCGGTCATCATGGATGAATCCGTTATGTCTGGTTACTTTGGTGATCAGGAGGATGACGAAGACTCCTTCCAGGAATATGATGGTAAGACACTAAGTTATTCCATTTAATACATGTACTATGCTATTCCCCTGAATTACCCAATATCAAAATATAGTTGAATTTTGGTATTTATGAAACCCTGTATTTCAAATACCACGGAAATGTCAAAGTGATCTGGAAATCACAACCCTTTATTCTTCAATTGTTATTCTCTGGATATCTCAAATTCTCCGATATTTAAATTTTTTTCTCAGTCTCATTGAGATTGATAGAGCAAGGTTTAACTAATTATTTTGACATTTTGTGACCCCATACTTTGATCATTTGTTGCAGATTCCAGTGAAGAACATGGCAGCCCATCAGACTTAGAGTGTGGTTCAGAGAGCGATACTTATTTTGCCAGTATTTCCAAATCAGACAAGAACAAAGGAATGCCATTCAACCTGTCCTTCTCCACAATCTCATCAGAGAAAATTACCCATAGTTCCCCCAAAAAGTCATGTGACCATGAATCATCATCTGGGATTTCATCTTCTCCCAACACTGCAACTGACAATTCACCATCGTGTTCCTATGCATTTGTGCCAAAATCACCTCTTGGTATTTCTGGACACTCCTCACATATCTGGTCTTTGAATTCGGCGAAGAAAAACTATGTCTCCAGTGACTCCGAAATGTCTTCACCAAGATGCTCAGAGAAACAAGGTGCTACAAGTTACATGACCCTTAGACGGACAACCAAACGCAAGAGTCGACAATCTCTTTGTTACAGTGCGTCGTTTTCTGGGCAGCAGTGAGATGATTGTTTTAGGCTTTATAAAATTGTTTGAATGAAAATGATGAATGCATGATTTTGCGCATACTTGTCGAATGAAATCCATTTTATACTCAGTGTGTTTATGAAAATATCTCAATCATGGATTTAATTGTTATTCAGGGATTTCAACCATTCCTTGTTTATGAGGATGTTTTTTTTTGGTTTATATATATTTTTTTAAAGGAATTTTTTTTTTTCTATGATCAGTTTGAAATAATTGAGTTCTGTGAAAATGGGTAATTTTTTTTTTTACAAGTACAAATGAAGTGTGTGCATTCCACTGTCTTCCAAAGATCTTTCAGGGAATTAAAAGTATCGTGATACTAGTAGCCTTACTCAAAAGTGATATTAGTCAACATCAGTCATCAATGTCTCAAGAGATATCATTGTGTCATCATTTTCTTACTGGGAGACCAAGTCTCCAACTAGTATTAGTACTGTAGTCAAAATAAGTATCATTGTAGCCTCATAATAGTCATACAATTACATTTTCCTACATGTATATTCACCTTCATGTTTTGTATATGTAATACAGAAATCTATAGATTTCCTCAATCAATATTTTTCAGCTTCAAGATTTTGTTCCTACCTCAGTGTCCAAAACGTTTTTCACTAACTCATATTAAGTATAAAGATTTATAAAGGTGGCCAAATACTGCATTTAGAGTATTTGTATTTTGAAGGCCAACATCTTGTCTTGTGTGCTCATACTCTGCCTTTAATGGTGATTGTTAGTGTTTTATTACGTCTAATTTTATTGTGTTTGTTTGTGAGAATGTGTTTGGGTTAGAAGAGTTGTCTTTCCTTAGTAATCTTTGTAATGGATTAATCCTTTGAAAATGTGACTTATATTTTGCTGTTCCAAGGCAATCTATTTAGTCTTTACACCCGTTATTTAAATCATATCCACTTTGATGGTATTGCCTGATTGAATATTGTACATTTGCAGCATTTGGTGCTTAGACTAAATTATTTATTTATTTGTACAAATGATTTATACTGAATGAATGATCCTAACTGAAATATATAGTATTCATATTATATATGTCTTATATACAAAGTTACAACTCGAAAGTCAAACGTTTTCTTGGCCATCTTTAATGATGTGTCTGTTTGAGATAAATGTCATATATATGTGTTGGTGTGAAAGGAGTTAATGTTTTTGTTTATAGAGATATATATATAAATGTATTTTCTTTCTACATAAAATGGAGAAGAAAATTAAAATGAAAAGAAACATAAATTTGTGTTACTATTCATATTTCATTGTCGGATACCCATGAGTGAATTTGTCTTTTCTAACGATTCATGAATATGTTCATCGATTGGATTTTTCCGTATCGCAGATAACAGCATGAGCAATGACAATATTTTTTAGTAACCGTAATAAACAGTCAAAAACAATAAATCATGTCCTCATAGCAACATCATTTTTCACAGGGGGATGTCTCTGATTAATTATGCAAGGCCTTGATGAATACCCTCAGTAATCAGTTCACAGGTTCTTTGATTAATTCCCCCTATTTCTGTTTGGTTAATGGGACACCTATTGATTTTCTGAAGTAGATCTATAGCAACCATTCCATAACAGCAGTGGATTTTCCGAGGGCGGAATCAATACTGCTGCAGTTTCCCATGAGTACAACGATCCTAAGGGATAAGGATAATTTACCTCATAAATTTGAAGTACATTTTATTCAAAGCCTTTTAGGCAAAATCTAATGCATTCTTAAAAGTTAACACCTATATCAATTTAAATATGGTAATAATGAACACAAACTGATCAGCCATTCAATTTTTTTCTGTAATTTGCATCTGACAGATTGGTTTTTAGATAAAGACATTAAAATTACCCAAATCCATATACATATATTTCCAACATACTGTAGCTTACTCCATTGGGAGTTTCTAAATTTTGTTTAAAATTTTACACTCATATTGACGTATGGATTGTGTCTAGATTTTGGAAAACGAATAAAAATCTTGCTATATTCAAGTACTGCCAGTTCATGTAAATAATGAAAATCTCAAACTACTTGTGTTTCTTCCAAACAAATTTGATAATTTTTTGTGTATTAAATTCACCTTGAGGCTTGTAAAAATACATCGCGGAAAGAATCCTTTTAAAACATATACAGATAATTGAAACCTTATCTGTACAATACAGGATTGATATTTGCAGTATGTAATATACCGGAACATTGGACTTTTTTCTTTTACCACATACCACCTTTCAAAATCGATAATCCTAGCACTCTGCCACATCACCTTCCCCTGATCAATTTGAAATGAGACCAAAGACCATAAACTGAGCAGACGCAAGTCAAAATTTCCAATAAATATAACATTTGCAAATGTTTATACCTTATATAACACTACTGAAGGCAAAATTTTAACTGTGTAAATACAGGTATTTCAAGAGGTTATGATGTCTTAGGATAAACGTTCGACGTAATTTCTCTGTGACGTCTCGACGCGCGTTTAGTGGATTAAAATGTTGGGTTTGAAATGTGACCAACCCGTTTTACATCTCAATAAAACTAAAAAAATGATACCTTATTTCTTAATAATATAACTTCTTACACCATAAGTAAATTAGAAACCAAAATGTTGACTTGTCTTTTCTCAGGTTATGGTCTTAGGCAGAACTATTCTTTCCTCGAGTCAAAAATAAGGGAATAATTTATTTGAGGATCGAAATGCAATGGTTTTTTTTTTGTTTTTTTTTTTTTTTTTTTTAAATTTTTGTCTGTCAAAATGGGACCCTATTTCTTGCCTCCATCTCAAAAAAGTAACAAGTTTGAAAACAAACAAGGAAAAACATTTCAAAATGGAATTTATTTTCTTTTCAACATGTTGAAAAAATAGAAAAAAGTTCCTGAATTCAAAGATCATTGAACACATTTAATATTCTTCTCCTTCCTCCTCTCCTTCCCCTTCTACGGAGTCCACACCGACTTCTTCATAGTCCTTCTCCAGGGCCGCCAGATCTTCACGCGCCTCGGAGAATTCTCCTTCCTCCATACCCTCTCCTACGTACCAGTGGACAAAGGCTCGCTTGGCGTACATCAGGTCAAACTTGTGATCCAGACGAGCCCAGGCCTCAGCGATGGCAGTGGTGTTGCTCAACATGCAGACGGCACGCTGAACCTTGGCCAGATCACCTCCTGGGACAACAGTGGGGGGCTGGTAGTTGATGCCCACCTTGAATCCGGTGGGACACCAGTCCACAAATTGGATGGTACGCTTGGTCTTGATGGTGGCAATGGCAGCATTCACATCCTTGGGTACAACATCTCCTCTGTACAACATGCAACAGGCCATGTACTTGCCATGACGAGGGTCACATTTGACCATCTGGTTGGCGGGTTCAAAGCAAGCATTGGTGATTTCAGCCACAGAGAGTTGTTCGTGGTAGGCTTTTTCAGCAGAGATGACGGGGGCATATGTAGCCAGAGGGAAATGGATACGAGGGTAGGGCACCAAGTTGGTCTGAAACTCTGTCAAGTCCACGTTCAGGGCACCATCAAATCTCAGGGAGGCAGTGATGGAGCTGACAATCTGACCAATCAGACGATTCAGGTTGGTGTAGGTGGGGCGCTCAATGTCCAGATTGCGGCGACAGATGTCGTAAATGGCTTCATTGTCCACCATGAATGCACAGTCCGAGTGCTCCAGGGTAGTGTGAGTGGTCAGGATGGAGTTGTAGGGTTCTACTACTGCAGTGGATACCTGAGGAGCTGGGTAGATGGAGAACTCCAGTTTGGATTTCTTTCCATAATCCACACTCAGACGTTCCATGAGAAGTGAGGTGAATCCAGACCCGGTACCACCACCAAAGCTGTGGAAGATGAGGAATCCCTGGAGTCCGGTGCACTGGTCAGCCAGTTTACGGATTCTGTCCAGGACCAGGTCCACAATTTCCTTGCCGATGGTGTAATGTCCACGAGCGTAATTGTTGGCAGCATCCTCCTTTCCTGTTATGAGCTGCTCTGGGTGGAAGAGCTGGCGGTATGTTCCTGTGCGAACTTCATCTGAAAAACAAACATAAATGTTGAGATTATAAATCAAACAGTTTACTACTCATGAATACTTTTTTTATTATAATCTACTCATCTGACCGGAAGTTGATAAACATTACAATTCCCCTTTACAGCTCGAGTACTTCAAACAAGAAGGAAGATCTTTTTTTCAAGGAAGTAAAATTTCATATCTGTTACGTAGTCTCATTAATGATATAAGCCAATTTTTTCTCACTTCTATAAGAGATTTATAAACTGTTCTTACAATTTCACTAGCATGATCCAAGTCTAAACCTACCAACAACTGTTGGTTCGAGGTCAACAAATACAGCCCTGGGCACATGTTTGCCTGCACCAGTCTCGCTGAAGAAAGTGTTGAAGGAGTCGTCACCACCTCCAATGGTCTTGTCACTGGGCATCTGACCGTCTGGCTGGATTCCATGTTCTAGACAGTACAGCTCCCAGCAGGCATTGCCCATCTGGACTCCGGCCTGACCCACATGCACACTGATACATTCCCTCTGAAATTTAAAGGGCCATTCAATAATAATTAAACCTCAGAATTAAAAAGTTATATTTGTATAAAATTTGAAATTCTATGACCCTGACATGACCGTGTCAATATATTTTCCCTTTACAGCTAACGCTTACACTTGTACATTCAATGATTTATTGTCAGACTTGAAATATTTTAAAAATTTTGTGAATATGGGTGTGGTCCAACCATTTACTTACAGAAGTAATATGTATGTTAGTATTATAAACCAACTAAAAGTTACTTCTCATTAATTTACATTAAAAAGGACAAAAGCTCTGAAAATAGCTATTTTCCTTTACACGTGTCGAAGTACAATGCACGTTCACCTTAGCGCCAAAACCTCCTACTTTTTCTTGCTGACATTTCTAATAAATTATAGTATTTATAAAAATGAAACTAATAAAATACAAGATGTTTATATAATGTGCACCTACCATTTTGCTGTTGTTGTCTGGTAATTAGGAAAGTCGGAGAAATTTACAAGCAAGGGAAATCTCACGTGACGATCTGCAACGGATCAAGTGAGAAGATGTGAATTACGCGGCTTCCCTCTCGCTTTTTATATGTCCTCGTTCAATTTAAACTTGGACGATTCCAAATCAAGCTATTTGATTGGTTCTTGTTGATGTAATTTGCCACAAAAATGTACACAATTAATTTCCACTCCAGTGCACAATTTAATAAAAGTAACAAATTGTAACAAAAAGATATTTATTGAGTAAGTCTAATTGGTAAAGAAATAGATAAAGATGATTTTATAAGAAATAAATGGAAATGTGTTTTTAAAATAAAATTAGTGCCAATAAAATGTTATATAAAAAACAAAAAAATACCAGGACTTAATTGTCTGTCAAAGTCCCTATAGCTGTTCAAAATACATGTACTTTAAAAACAGATGCATTATATTGCATATTATTCATAGACAATCACAAATTTGCATTATTTTTGACAATAAAACTGTCTCAGTTAAGCTGGCACTGTTTTAAAAATAAAATTATGAATATTAAAAATATACATG